ATATAATAAACAACTTAATAACCTCGACCGTTCGGTCGTTACGGGAAAATCTCAAACCTCGGCCTACCGTATTGACCGAGCGATAGCGAGGTCAATACTGCAACGCCTCAGTTTAAGATTTTCCCGTAACGACCTCACTCTCGGTTATTAAGTAGTTATTAAAATATAAAAGAAGCATTAACTGGTTACTAACCAACCTTAACTTTTCAAAATTTTAAGGTGGCTCTGTACCCTATGTACAGAATTTTTTCAAACTTTGCCAAAAGTTGCGTCTTATCATGCTTATCAAAAGTTGATAATATAAAAAAACATTCACCGTGCCGTTTTTTAATTATAGGCTCCTAAAGCTGTAATTAAGGGTGTTTCTAGCAGGTCATACTGTTGCTATGGTAACCTATTGTGTCACGGAAATGATAACAACTTGTTTACCAATGATTGGGCAGTTTTTTGATACCATGATTGTGGCATCAAGTGATAAAGAGTGGTTATAACGACCCATTAAAATCTAAGTGCTGGAAACTATTTTGAGCCACCTTAAGATATAGTGGAACCCTACCTTACAGTACATGTGCCTTGTTAATATGGTCACCTCATTATTACGGCCACTTTTTGTCCCAGCAAAATGCCCATACGTTTTCTTATAGGACAACCCTGTTAATGCACCTACCCCATTAATGCGTCCAATGGCCACATTCTGCAATTCCAACCTGTATAATCCTTTATAATTTTACCCTGTTCATACGACCACTCCAACCAATTACGTAATCTTCTTTCTATTGATATTTTATGCCCTGATTTTAAGTTTCATTTTTATTAAAGCATATCTGCACTCTGGATGCTATTAAAAGGACAGTTGTTTAAAAGTGCAATTGTGATATATCTGTTAAGACACCTCTCAGTTTAGACCAGTTACTGCGTTTTCATGTGAAGGTTTTAGAAAATTAAAGTATACATTCCTTGAGAAACTCACCTTTATCAAGTTTCTTTACACCCTCGATTATCGTGGTAATGTGATTAACATTCGAATTGATTTGTTACACAATGCCCATCAAAAGCATGTCACCGATTTCTCAAAGACCACTTTCTTTTCCTCTTATACCATTCTAAAGATTGATATATGAACACTTGGGATATCCTTGTCAAACAAAGTCATACCTTTTCAACCGGATCAAAATTAAATAATCAAAGACATGCTATAGTAGAGCATGGGAACATTTCAGCCAAATCTCAGCTAAATCTGTTGACAGGTGGCTGCAAACAAACTTAAAATGTGCGTTCCTGTACGTAACTTTTTTTGTTTTCAAGATACTGATGAAAAGAGCGGTAGTTTCCAATTTTGTGTGTTTTAAGCAAGTGATGCTAGAACGCACAAAACAGAGTTAACGATGCGTTGACAGATTACTTGGAAGATCAGCCTACCCTAACTATGGTATTGATAAAAATCTACATTTAACAGACATCAGAATGATAGAAAATAGTGGAAAACATCATGGACCTGGATGCAGATGTTAATTATAGCTCGAGAGATAGGGAACCACGGTGAGATATCTTGTAATGTTTGATACTTGGCTAAGTTTCGTTACATAACATCCGCTTGTAATTTTACTATCCAGGGAATAGTCACTGTGGTGATTCTACTTAAAGATGCGAAGAATATCGCGAAAATGGTCATAGACTACATGGCGAGGAAACAATTTGTAACAAGCTGAATGCCACAGTCTGGCTGAAAATCCAAGCGAGCAGATGCTTAAAGAAATTAGTGCGAGGAAAGAAAATTGTGTGATTTTCTACTTTAAGTTTATTTATCTGCTTTTGCTGCTTAACCCATTGACGACTGTGCTGGCCATAACCGGCCGTGATTAGCGTTGGCCTTTTTCCACTTCTGACGTCATTACCTTTGACCAAAATTGGCATCACTTATGATGCCAACTTAAGAGGAAAAGATCTTTCCACTGAAACCCAGATCGCAGTGATTGGATCAATTGAGCCTGAAATAACATTATGCATGAAAATGCCCACAAATTGTCGTGAAAACCTCAGAGCAAAATTTCCCCCAACTACACTTGGCTACTCCGTGGTGAGAATTTTCCATCTCAGTGATGTTTTCTCACAAATTCTTAAACTGGAAGCAAGCCCAGAAGGAGGTCAACAGCTGCAGCAAAAAGATAAGAAAAGAAGAAAAAGGAAAGGTGATACAAATAATTTTAAAAAAACCGAACAGCCTAAACGCGTAGGTCACTTTCTCGTTCAAAAACTCAAAATGTTTAGTTCTGCGCACACCCCAGCAAAAAATGTCTTTTTGAGTAGATTGGGGCTAATTTGTTTCATATCCTGGCTGAAAATGTCCAAAAATGTCCAAGAAAAGCATCTTTACCAAAAGCTCCATGCATATGGGTTAAATTTATACAAAAGCAAACAATTGTCAAATACTTGTTAAATGTTCGTGGCTAGTCTGACGCGGCGTTTCGTCTCGGCCAAGAGACTCTTCAGAGACCTTTAGAATTCAAAGGCAAACTCGTTGAGCATCACGCCCAAAGTCCCGTTCGCAAATTCTTGATGTTGACAGTCTGGCCCTCTATCGCAGAAGGATTCCCAACCATACGTTCATGAGTTAAATTTATACAAAAGGAAACAATTGTCAAATACTTGTGAAATATTCGTGGCTAGTCTGACGCGGCGTTTCGTCTCGGCCAAGAGACTCTTCAGAGACCTTTAGAATTCAAAGGCGAACGGGACTTTGGGCGTGATGCTCAACGAGTTTGCCTTTGAATTCTGAAGGTCTCTGAAGAGTCTTTTGGCCGAGACGAAACGCCGCGTCAGACTAGCCACGAACATTTCACCACCATATGGGTTAAAGGCTAAAAAATCCGATCTAGACGTGGTTTCTGTTGAATTATCTGAGTTGAACATTAATGTTTCAATTCATTAGCCGTAACAATGGCCTGCCATTTTGTCTGCTCAACTGCAAACTGTGCTTTAATTGAGATCACATTTTTAAAGATCATAACTGTAATTACAATCTGTATCAGATCTTTGTTAATCTGTTATATCCACTGTAATTGTCTTTGAAAGTAATTAATCTTGCAAAAGTTCAATTCCTTCGTAGCCCAAAGTTCTCTCTGAAATGTATTAGATAATTCTTAAGTAAGATCACCCAATACTTTAGCATTGCTGTTTTGACTCAAATAGAGTTGCCTTTATATATAGATTTACCAAAGCCTAAAAGCGGAGCTCCTGATTACAATAAGTTAACCTACCCTGCGATCCAATCAAAAACCAGTACCTGGACAGCGGTCAACTTTAAAAAAAAAACACGTGACCTCGATGGGCCCTAAACTTGAGCCTACGATATGGTCACGTGATACTGGTCAGCAGATACCTTGTTTTCACAGGTGTCAATTGACCGTAACATCAATGTCCAATATGAAAGATGTACGCTGTAAACCAAGGCTGCATATCTCTTAACTTGAGTATGCCCGTCATGTTGCACAAAACGTCGTCGTTGTCGTCGTCCTGCGTACACGCCCACGAGCAATAGGTTATCATTCCAAAATTTTTCAAAAAGCCAGACTACAAAATTTTCTAGCTAGTGATTAAAAAATAGAAAATTTGCATTTCTGAGAGAAACTAGATCAAAGGAGTACTCCTGATTTGTCACACATCTTCTGCTTTCGCACTCTTTAGAAAGTTGTCAAGCACAAGGCCTGTGATGTGTTCGTCGCATCTTTTTATGATACTTTCCTTGCAAAACCATTAGAATAGTCACTTGTGAGACCTTAAGGCGATGGTTATGATTTCACAATATGTTCCTGGCAACACTGCTGATACTGTCAAGACGGAGGCAGCATTTTAGCATCAAAATTATGGATTTGAAACATCTTCAAGTACTAACATACATTTGGACGCCCAACAATCATATAAATCGACTTTGGTAATTCAGTGACATCTGCACGTATGTCAGGCAGATTTGAAATACTTAGTTACAGTATGATGCCCAATATCTGACCACTTCCATATAAAAAAAGTAGCCATCATATAATTTCTATTGGCTTGCAATTATTACATATAGTTATTTCTTCTAACTTTTCTAAGGAGAACTACATGTAGAAAGATTCTTTGCCAAATCTGTCGACCAATTTAAATAAGAGGCTACCTAAAATTGGGCATAAAACCATTTGAAGTGGCAGCCAGAAAATCGTAATACAACCTCATTTTCAGCCTGAATAGTTAACGAAAATACCACGAAAGCACTTCTTCAGCCAATTCCCCCCCCCCCCCACCCCCACCCCGTTAACCAGGTTCCATTATAAGTGTAACCTTCACAGAAGTCACTGGAACTGAATATTGTTCAACAAAGTCTGCAATGCCAAATGTATGTTCACTATACACATGTTCATGAGGTGAGGATTTCTGTATATTGTTTGGCCTTCTGTTTTGAGTTTTAATAATCACAATATACACAAAACAAAGCAGCAAAATACATTTGTATAGAAGAAAAAGTTATAATACCGTTAACTTTTAATCTTGGGCTTCTGAACAACCCTGCCTTGTTTTCTGCAAGTTAACCTGACATGAGCCCACGATCCAATTGAAAACCGGTACTTGGTCAGCGATCAACTTCAAAATAACACGTGACCTCGATGAGCTCTAAACTTAAGCCCGCGATATGGTCATGTGATACTGGTCAGCAGATACCTTATTTTGACAGGTGTCAATTGATCATAACATGGATGTCCAATATCAAAGAAGTACAGTCTAAACCAAGGCTGCATGTCTCTGTCAACCTATTATTTGGAGTATAGCCGCCATCTTGCGCGACTCCGTCACCGTCGTCGTGCGTACGCGTCCACGAGCAATACCGCTAGCCATGATAACCATGAGAAAATTCATTCATGGGTTTTCTTTCCCTTCCCATATGAGTATGGGGCTCCGCTTGGCGGTCCTTCGGGCCACCGGAGCTCCGCTATTATACTCTGTTCTAAATATCACATTGTCCATTTACCTGTCAGATTTGCTCCATTACTGTTCCAGTCCTTCGCTTTAATGATTCTCTTATCAGCTCTGGAACTCCGTATGATAATATGTTGCATGTCCCGCCACGTCAGGTTTTTGCTGAATGAAAAAAGGATAAGGATATATAATTTATTTCTTACACTTGTCAGCTGTCACAAATTTAGTCGGGATTCTTTAAAATGTAATAAATGGCTCAAGAATGACCTGACCTGTCCAATACCAGGGAAAAACCAATTTCAAACAACTATCCCATATAACCTGCGATCCGACTCCAAGTGCATTATAAATAGATTGAGGAGAACTAAGAGGACTGAAGGCTTTCTTACCCTAAGGTATTTTTAGCTTTACATAATTATGGTTAAGTGCTGAATTGTCCTACAGCGAGTGTGGTTCTTACAATCGGGAAACTTTCACTTTCTGTTCCCTCCCTCTGGTAGAAACGGAAAATATCGACTTAAAGTTGAGAGCTGGCTTTTGAGCTTCTGCAGTGCTATTTCTTTTCTTTGATTATTTTTGCTTTCCGTTTTGAATATTTCTCCATGATACTCCTAATTTTTCTTTTAATAAGATATCATTTTTGGCCAGTATCGAATACTGCAACTGTATTTCGTCTTGAAGTTAGAACAATTCTCCCGTAAAGCTGCAATATACGATTCATCTTAAAAGAGACCAGAGCTAAATTTCCAAAAAGCTTGAGTGACCTTTCTTTTGAGCTGAAACTTCTGATTGGATGTGAAGGGATAAGGCTGAATGATAGCTTTAAGGTGCAAGTATAATATTTTAATTCTTTGCCAGACTGCCGAGGGCCTCTGAAATAAAGAAATAGTCTCAGCGGCCTTGTATTTGTTACATAGATTGTGAGAATCACAGAGTATTTTCATTCCTTTCATGACAGATGCTTTTCTTATGATGGAGAGCGCACAATTGAAACTGCTTCAGACTATCAAATTCTCCTAAGCGAGGTCTTGCAACAGGTGGTTTAGTTCAGAAAATAATTCTGTTCATCAAATGATAGTTTTAGAATAATGAACCTACCGTATTTATCATGCATATGTGTGACTGATTAACTCAATACCATGAAGTTACCAACATGCAGTTTATTACCGCTTTACATGTATGCTTCAAAAGAGGAAAGATTTATTTGATGGGTCGACCCAATGTCCCTATTTTTTCAATCAGTTTTGTATAGCCCGCTTAAGTTTACCACAAGACAAGCCAAAAGCTGAAAACCTTACTTTGCTTCCACAGCCAATGCAAGAAGTCCAGATGCCATAGCAGCTGCTGCGGAACTAGCACTAAAATGATCCGTACATTCACCATTAGCAGTGGCTGTTATCTGGAGATGGAAATATATTTAGTTACCATTGGCATTTAATTAACCTTTAGCATTTTTACTAGTACTTGGACGATGAATTTGACTAAGGTCTCATTTCTGATCCCACAATTATTGGTAGCAGTGTACACAAATGGCTGTCAAATTTTGCAATGACTATTACGTTAAGTTCCAGGAGGTATGGTGATAGCAGTGATTATCATATTGGACTACGAAATTAAGTAATTTCAGTTCAAGCACTGACTGTGTTGATGACTGAATCGCGAATACACGATGCCTTGGGGGGGGGAGGGGAGTCTGTAAATCTCTGGGTGGGGGTGTGGTGCCGGGACACTGAAACCCTTACCCTATACTAGACCATAATAAGCTTTGTTTGCAGCCTTAATATTCTAGACTAGGCACCAAAAACCCCTACCCGTATCCCAGACTAGCTATTTAACATACATAAATACACACCAACTCAGTTGGGAGTAACTGGGTCTTTACTGCCTAAGACCATATGCGATGCCCCCCAAAAACCTCCAAAGAGGTGGTGGGAAATTTACTGAGTAATAGACTTGCTCATCATGTTGACCACTATCATCTTGTACTGCAGGGAAGTATCAAGGTATCATGCATAGGTATTAGAAAGCCAATCCCCTTGAAGCTTAATATAGTGCCGTAGACTCCACAGTTCAGCACAAAGGTGGCTCCTCCGCAACGAAAAGAGTGTCCAGAGTACTGGGAGCTGTCAAATCCACATTGCTCAAGCAACTTTTTTAGTTTAGTAGTAAATGTAGTATAAAGTAATGGTTTAACTTAGTCCCTGAATGTATACACAAAGGCAGGGCCATTTTGGGGCTCATGTACGCCTAACAATTTAAAGGCGTTTATGATTATTGCTTTATGCAGGCAGAGTTTGGAGTGCTCTATCCTTGGAAACAGGCACCAACAGGGTGCGATTGCGATACTGGATTGATTTTGACCAGCACACTACGAGCAGCAGGCCCTAGTTATAAACACAAATGTCACACATGCGCAAGTGTTTTAGGGGGTCAAATGAGCTCGCGGACGCAATGAGAAGATTAACCTTCCGAAAGAAAGAGAAGAAGGCAATGACGCACCTAGCCAAAAATGTCGCATCTAACGACTTAGTGAGGTCAAGCTGTCCGTGGAGTTTATGTAAAATGTCTAGTGTAATAGGGAGCTTTTGCTGATCAACGTTGCTATGCAGACGCTTGATGCCTCGCATGAGGAGTTCTTTCTGAAATGTAAACGGCGGTCTTGCAGGGGGTTGGGAAATCCACACTGTAGGTGCAAGATGCACACATCTTTCAAATAACATGCGATGCTAGATGCGGCGAGAGTCTGAGCTAGGAAGACCACATAGCATAGTAAATTATGAGAAGAGCATGACACCGGTCTGTTACCAAAGTAAAGCAAAAACGAAAATAGGCACGTAGTTGTGATTTGTAAATAGCTGCTGTGGACTGCGCGAAAGCCTGTCCGCGGTATTTCCTCAGCTCGGCATCAAGTTGCTGTTCCCGAGCATGGACCGCACCTGTAAAGGTAATGCGTCAAAGACGTTACGTGACAGATGTGGCGTGACAGAACGCCGTTTGTTTAATGGGCAGGAAATGAGTTTCCCTACTTAACAATTAGACCCGTAGCCCACAAGGGCTACGGGTCAATAGCCCATGAGGCGAAGCCAAATGGGCTATTGACCCATGGCCCTTGAGGGCGAAGGGTCTAATTGTTTTAGTACCACCCAACTAGTTGGACAGAAAAGTTAATAATAAAGTTAGCAAATGCAAGTTAAAGAAATTTTTATTTGGGAATAAAATGAAAGAAAGCATCACGCTCGATTGGACAAATTTCGCTACTCGAGGACTATTACTAATAGTCCTCTGGTTGCGCAGCCAATTAAAATGGAGGATTTGCATTAGTCCACTAGTCGGGTGATACTAAAAGGAGTTCACAATGCGCAGGATCATGGATACGAGAAATAGCATCGGTCAAAGTGTTAGCTGCTCTGGGAATATATTGCGAAGTGACGCGAAAGTTGTATGTTGCTGAGAGCCAGAAAAGTTTGCGCAACCATTGCATCGCAAGCTGGTTACTAAAAGTGCCCTTATTTATCACGCTTAGCGTTGTTGTGTTATCAGTTCGCAGAATGATCCACTTATCGCGTAGTTGATCCTTCCAGCGCTCAAGGGCCATAAGAACTGTGAACATTTCCTGCAAATTGACTTGCACGTTTGCCAGACTACGATAATTAGTGGCCCAGTTAACATAGAACCAATCACCTTGAAAGAATGCTCCTCCACCAATCGGACAGGCGTCAGTAGATAATCCTTCAGTGGGAACTAGCTCAGAGTCTACGATAAAGGTTTTGCCATTAAAAACGCCTAGAAATTCTGTCCACCATTCCAGATCTACTCTCAGTTGAGTGTTTATCCAGACATGATGATTTGGGCGCTGCATGTGGTTAACAGTGTCAATCATACACCATAAGAATATGCTTCCGTCAAACACAACGCGTGTGGCAAATTGAGCTTGCCAACGAGAGACAGCAAGTCCCATTTTGTGATAGATCGCTTTGCAGTTGTTTCGCTAAGTAACAATCGAAGTTCACAGAGTTTGCATTTGAGCAACGTGAGTTGCATGCGCACAGTATCAATTTCAATGCCTAGAAAAGTTAATCGCTGACAAGGCCCGACAGTGTTGTCCCAGTTAATTTGAAATCCAAGTTTTGCCTAAGTGTTTAATCAGTTCTTCATATGCTTGTTGACACTCAACCTCAGAGTAGGCGATAACCAGGAAGTCATCAAGATAGGCCAAAACCATAAATCCCCGCCGTTCCATCAATCGCGTGACTGCTTGTATTAAGCTATGAAATATTTCCAGGCTTTTTGCGGCCCCAAATGGAAGCTTACAGTCACAGAGATACCCGAGAGTGTTGTCACCACGAAATTGCCTCGCTAGTCCTGTCGCAGGGTAGTTGGACAGATGAACGGGCACATGTCGATAAGCACATTTAAGGTCAATGTTTGCCAGATATGCGTTACTCTTGATAAGTGATACCACTTTGTCAACTGTGAAGTATAAATAGCGCTGTTGTCTGTCAATGTATGAATTAACATTACTGTGTTGCGGTCGGCTGCAATCATGGATAAGACGGATTTTGCAACTATGTGGTTTCAGTATTGCTCCCAATGCGCTTACTATAGTAGGATTTTCAGTTGTTACTATGTAGATTCCATGCTGTATTTCTTCGCGTATCGCCTTCTCAACTTTGTTGCAAACATCATGTCCAGTTGCTGATTTGCAATTCGTCACTTCTGCGTCACTTCTACACGATACTGTACAAAAGCCTTACATTAGTCCTTTCCGCAAATAGTCACGGTCAATATCATTAGCCAAATTTTCTGTCCAGGCACCAATGTTATTGTTTAACAGAGATGGGTGTAAACATGGGATGGGTCCGGGTCACGCACGTTGATTGGACATCGTGGGTAAATGCTCGTGTTGAGGGTGGGGCCGAGAACAATTTCCCATGAGGCAGACATGTTGAAAGCTTCATTGAGGCCAATTACAGCCCGACAAAGAGTTAAATTGGCAGCAGATTGGCTTGAAAAAATTGTGGTTGGCGGCCGGAATTGGAGCGTGAGTCAGCACAACGCTTAGCCAGAGTTTGGTTAAACTGAGTCAATGCACGATGTTTAACAAGAAACCGCGTATGAAGGTGCTGCGAATCGCTGCCCCAGCGAAATCCCTACTGGTGCTGAAGTTTACGATATTCGTTGTGGTATATGACAACAGAGGGAAGAGTGTGAGACTCGTGCAGTTCTGCTACTTTTACAGTGTACGAAAGATAATCGGCAATCTGGGACAGGCCTGAAAGCTTTCCTGTGTTTGACAGCTTGGGCATTATTCTCGTGTTTGCGGCAACCCACATGGACAGTGAAATATTGTCTAATTTTGGCTTGCTTCTGGGAGCACGTAGGACAATTCATGCATCAACAGACCTACCAATTTCTTGCTCGTCCTTAATGGTTCCATCATAAGTCGCAGTACTTATAAAGTCAGGAATAAGCAAAGGTTTTGTCCTACCTTCTTTCTTGGACTGCAGTTGGTGTAGAGTTCCAAAGAACACTTGTGGGTTGCTGTCAACCATCTTGAGGGGCACGGAAAATGGCTGCCCTGTGGCTCCCAGCGTTACAAGCAGGTCATCCATGGAGATTCCTCCGATCTTTTTCAGCAAGTCTTCCAAGCCACCATCGTTGGCTAGTGACTTGGTAGTAACGGGGGTGCTCTCGCTAGAATGTTTCTCCTGAGGTTTGTGGTTTGGGTCCGTACCATTCAGCAGTTGTAAAGCTTGCATGAACAGTTTCCTCTGCCAGAGGGTTAAGTCCAGCATTGCTACATCGTCCGCATGAACTAACTTTAAGGCATCCTGGCTGTCCAGGTCATTATTCAGTAACGCCTCCATCGTGCTCTGCTTCAGTCCATTATCGCTGCACCACTTTTTAAAATCGAAACTCGTCATGACAAAAAAAATTACAGATTTGCACTTAATTCTTATAACGTTGATCGCTTGCTGATCGCAAAGGGAATGCTTACTAATATGGCAACTGTTCGCTTATACTTGCTGGGCGTGGCATGGAATTTCCGCTTCAGTATTTAATTGTGATAAACAAGTCTGTAACTCACGAAACTTTATCACTATCGTAGTCCAACATACGCTAACTACACAAATATCTTACAAAGTCACTTCCAAGTTTCAATTTCTATTATATAACCCTGGGTAAAGAACCCTGTTCTAAACTTAACTGTTTGTACAGCAGCCACTTTCCCGGTAAATTGCACCCTATTCCAGAACAAAACTGTCTGATTTCTATATTCTATCCCAAACTAAACTGCCTGAAAACCATACCCTTCACAGCAACATATACCTATATAGCTTATTAATGGGAGTACCCTATGAATAGGATGTCAATAACCCAACAGTTAGCAAACACTTTAGATCCATTTGGACAAATATATATACGTCTGGATTTAGGAAAACAGTGTGAAAGAAATCAAGCGGTTTTTATTTATTTTTTATTATTCTTAATCTTTTTTTTTTGCTTTCTGTATGGCAGCACCTTGTAAATCTTACCTAGCGTAAAATGTAGGGAACTTCACGCGGCATGTTTCATTTATTTATCTACTTTTATCATTATTTATCATATCCCCCCACCCCCTGCCCTTTTCAATTGGTAGTAAGTTTTGCCCAGGCTACACTCAAATGAATTTCAGTTCACGCTGTGACTCTGAGAAGGAGCCAAGCGATCAGCGTTCTATAACTGCTGTCTAAAGGAAGTCTGCCCGATGTCCAATGATGGTGCAAGTCTAACGATTTGCTAGCAAGGGTCATCCATTATCGTACAAAAAAGGGCCCTGAGATGTAACGGGACGTCATTTAGCCCCGTAATAGTAGGCCGTTTGCACTGTGGCGCTACTGTTGTGCTTGCTTTAGACAGCAAAGAGCTTTAGCCACATCAATTTACGGCTTAGACGTGCAATGGACCAGACATTTCTAGCTGCTGTTGGCGTTATTTGCTCTAAACTTTGATGTTGCGAAAGACTTAGGAAAAAAATCTGTTGAAGTCGAGATATGCCATTTCGCGCTCGATGAAATTCAAGTACATCTGGGACATTGCTATTTGCAAGCAAAACATGGCCACGAGCAGAGTGAACAACATGAGGTCAAGTGCAGATCATGAGTAGAATTTCCTTGTTTTATCAAGCCTTTGAAGTCGCTGCAAATGAGTCCAACGAGCCAAACAAAGCTAAATTAGAGCTTAAATTGATCATTTGATTCGCGGCACTAATTTAGACAGGCTTAAATTCTGCGATTTCACATAAATGACCTCACTATGTCTTTACTGTGGGTTAAATTAGCCAATCATGGTAACAAAAGCATGGTGAGCAGTGGACTCGGTTATTTACNCAAATCGTTAGACTTGCGCCTTCATTGGACTTAATGATGTCCTCGGGCAGACTTCCTTTAGACAGCAAATACAGAACGCTAATCGGTCGGCTCCTTGTCGGAGTCACCGCGCGAACTGAATTCAGACGAGTGTAGCCTGGGCTAAGCTTAACACAAATTGAAAAGGGGGTGGGGAGGTAGGGTCGATAAATAATGAAAAAAAAAAACCTAAATAAATGAAACATGCGGCAAGGAGTTTCTACATTTCATGCTACGTAAGATTTGCAAGCTGCTGTCATAGCGAGAGCAAAAAAAAAATTAAAAAAAAAACAAATAAATCAAACAACACTTGACTCAGACATATATATAGGACTGAATATACTTACCACCTTCGTCTTATCTTCGAAGAGAAACATCTCTTTGCTGTATGTAACTGCTAAGATTCCGGGACAACGTTCTCCATAGCGTGGCAGTGAACCATCTTTATTTACACCTGTTATGGCAATAGTGTAGATGCTATTCACAAGTCCACTGAAAGCACAGCTATTGTCTCCATATCCACCATTTCCGGCAGCAAACACAAATATGGAGCCACGTCCTTGTCGACCCTGTAATGAAAGCAAAGCCAGACTGTTTTTGCAAAAAGCCTGATATGAACATGAACTAGTGAGACAATCTCAGACAGTGCAGAGTATAATTTATGGCTCTGATGCAGTAGTCACACAGGTCCTCACCCCTGNGGCAACGGGCCGGCATCGGACCCAGGCCACATTCGTGGGAGGCGAGCGTAACTATATTGTTTGCTCCCTATGACTGACGCTTAACCGTGACATCAGCAACAACAACAAACAACAAAAACAACAACTATCTACATGTACTAGTATTACCATATGACGAATAGATAGTATTTCTGAAAAAGAGGTTAAGATTCCACAACATATGGAACGCTTACACATTCATGTCTACTTTACAAATCAACACATCAATTGACAACAAGTAAAATAATATAGCATACCTCAAGTATATATACCTAACACATTGGATTATTAAACAAGACCACCGTCAGTGATCAATTATAAGATCACGACATAAGGTGTAACTCCATACATACAGGCATTTAAGATATCTCATGATTTAACAAATCGCTGCTAAGAACACGTAAGGTCTAGGGACCTCGGAGACTATTTAAAAGTGGTGTAAGTATGGCTAGGAAAATCTTGCCAAGATAAACAAGCATTAGGAGTCACTGTTCCACCCCTTTGTTACTTCCAAGTGTTAAAATTCGTACATTGTTTGGAGCTCTCAAATATCAAACCAAAGAGTAAGAGTGGTAACGGTATATCCTTACTAGCCCCTCCTCTAAGCGCGCTGTGTCTGAGGCGACATATACCTCTACGGGTAAAGATAACATTTCAACAACGAGAAACATCATGCGGAGAAACCTCTAGATGTCCGAATACCTAACATTTCCGGTCACTTAACACAACCGCCAACATCAGCAAGCGAGAAAAGTCGCAAGCCTTTATCTTGATGGCCTTATTGGCTCCTTACTTCAGCACCCCTGCAGCTCTATGAAGCAAATTTGCAAAACGAGTGCTTGGAGAGTTTAGACTCAAGTTTGCGTAAATATCGAGTGCAAAGCAGACGGAAATGAGGTCGAATGTGCTTTCCTGCCTGTGGAGTTTTCTTTGTTTTTGCTGCTCCTTCCCTTCCTCCCTGGTTTTTCCAGCAGTAGCAGGTAAGTGTACATCTTTTGTTTTAGCCCAGCTGGCATCTAATGCAAAATTTTGCATCTAATGGTCGTTTGATAATTACGCTTACCGGTAAAGTTTGCAAAACAATTCATTTAAATCGAAAGCTCAGACTTGAACGATAAAGTAGAGCAACGGGTAAAGATTCCAAAACGGGTTGAGTCATTTATGTACGTTTGGTAGTATAAAACACTCTGTCATTAGTCCCATATATATAATATACGGTTACCGGCGATATCGAGTTAGACGGGGTCAAGTTTTTCTAGCTTTAACGAAAGATCGCAGTTTTGTCCTCTAGGGCTGGAGCTGCTTTCAATTGAGTGTGGTAAAACCAAAACCAAAGCAATTACTTCCCAATTACACCATAGTTAGCTACCCTCAGACAGTAATAAACCGAACCAAAACCAATTAAAGTAATAGGCCACTTCCGAGTTGCCTTTTGCCTCTGTGTCAAAACGAGTCTTCCGTCGTGCGAAACCATACATATGAAAATGTGTTTTGCCTACAGGTTCATTTTCGTGTACAGTAAAACTCTTTTTCATAGGAAATATTGTGCACGAAAACTCGTTTTGAAAAAGAGACACAAGGTAACTCGGAAATGGCCTATTTATTACTTACCAATTAGACTACTCAGCCAATCTCAAACTGTAGTAAAACCAAAACCAACTCGTCACATTGCCTGATTACTCTCGACACTCAATTGAAAATCGCACTAATATAGTATAAGGTATTGGTTATTGAAATGATTAAATAATAATCTTTACTTGAGGATGCCGACTTCACTAAGAGCTAGTGGTTCACAGAAGCTAGGGCTCCTCTGAAACTAAACCAATTGATGAAGATAATGGTTTACCTGATAAAAGTTTCAACAAATTACATGTTTATCAACAAAGAAAAAGTTGAAATTTAATGGAACGATTTACCGCCAATGTTTTGAAATTTCTGGTTTATTATTCAGCGTTTTTATTCAATGAAAATGTGAAACTTATCCGATTTAAATTGCTCTGTCAAAACATACATTATAATGCACAACGAAAAGGAATGTGTCAGGAATGTGGTTAGGAAAATAATTCCGTTTGGTCTGAAAATGGTTGGGGGCTTTGAGGCGATTCCCATATAAAAATGACGAAGATGCCTGTAAGAAATCACTTGTGAATGGGAAATTAAAAACATTTCCAAAGCGTTTTATTCATTTGACTTCAAACAACTCTTCTTTGGGGGTGGGGTTACATAGGTCACAGCAGAACTCCCGGTTCCCCTTCCCTTAACTGATTGTGAAAGCGAAAATCACTGCCAATTGAGGCAATTTTTTTTTCCTGCAGTTTCTTAGGAAACGCTTGCACTTATATCTGACTATACTAATTAGCTCCAAAACGTCAAGGAGAATATCTCGGTAGCTGAAGAAGGAAAAAAAGCCGGTTATTACAAAACAAAATTAAAAAAAAGAAAGAAAACAAAACAAAACTATTCCAGAGTGGAGTCAGGGTACAGTAAGTAAATCCGCCCAATAGGTCATTGGTGTAGTCAACTGCCCTCGATCAGGCTGTGCCAGTCTGTCGTACGCTCGCTTTCTCCCTGTTCGCAGGCCGCTGAGACTAGCCTGTCAAAGTCAATTCAGTAATAAATATGAACTTTGTGATCACTAGACATATCCTGCTGTGAAAACAGTTCATTTATTTGCCCCTGGGGGGAAATGCAATATATGTACGATGGGCTTCACAAAATTTTGAAATTCCCAGCAGGGTACACGCATATACCCGAAATTCTGGAATCATCAGGATAGCAAAAGTGAACATTGACGAGTACTTTGAAGTAATTGAAATGTCCTGTTATTAACTGAAAAATGACAAAAAGGTCATCTGAACATGTAAACACATCATCATATGGTTCTTCACCGGGAATCGTTTCGAAACAGTGAAAAAATAAAATAAAATAAAATAAACCCCATCTTTACGCTGAATCTGTAGAGCTTATGGGTTTTACACACAGACTCTGGTTGCATTATAATGAGAATTACGTGATTTTAAACCAGTGGCAAATTACCTTTTGAAACGACTGTTCCAATTAATTTAAGCTCGTTTACTCATTGCGTAACATGCTATCGAATTTTGTTTTGAGTTGCAATGCCTACGCCTTCGCCTGTACTATGCAAATAACCAACTGGTCTGCCTACTACTAGTTGGGATTTTCAACAAGTTTCTGTCGGGTGCTTGCTCTACTAACACTCCAAATAAGGGCTTGCTATATGGCAAACAAAAAAACAAACAAACAAACAAAATTGTGTTTCTTAAAAATTGGCCTGGCCTTATCAAATTTGAACGAACCTTATTGAATTTGCCCTAGATCCTTTAGTTATTATACTTACTGGTAATTCATTTTGTTTTGTACACTGTAGGAGCCTTGGCCTCAACAGGAGCACCGTACTTTATAGACGAACCCTTCGACACATACGTCGAAAATGGTAAACCAGCAGTGTTGGACTGCCTGACAGGCGGGAACATCAAGTCCGCGATAGCATGGAGGAGGAATGACATTTTCTTGGATTTGGCCCGTGACGGCCGTAGGATGATAAAACCAAATGGATCTTTGTATTTTTCGGAAATTATTCACGGTGAAGATGAAGGGACCTACCAGTGCGAGGCTTTGTCAAGTAACGCTATGGGTCTGGATTACCAGATTTTAAGTAGAACTGCTCGCCTTATTGTTGCTGGTAAGTCAGACTGTATCAACGTCGAAAGTCTTCTTGACTCGGATTTTTTTATGACTATATCACTCGAAGGAGTCCTTCCTAAAAAAAAAAAAAAACTGGTGTATGTTGATCTTTTTTGTTGAAAACTAGAGGCGAAAAAGGGTTTTGTGGGGTTTTTGAAGAAAACCAGACATACTGCATGGATCTACCATTTTAGATTCAAGTTTTTTTTAAGGTACCAGAAAATAAAATTAAAAAAGCAAAACAAAACAAAACCAAACCAAACAAAACAAAACAAAACAAAAACAAAAAACAAAAAAACAAAAACAGAACAAAACCGCAAGTCTCTTAGTTTGGCGGAGCAGCCTGTCAAAATACCGAACGGTTTAACATCATGGAAATATGAAATTACGAATGGCTATTCAATCACAACTTTACATACCTAATGTTAGAATTGAGTCCTTTCCACTCGGATACTTTCTGCTTCTGGTCTTAGTAGGTTTAAAAGTTCCATTAAGAATAAGTGCTAGAAAAAAATACACAGTCGGTATGACAAGGCTTGATCGATGGCGTACGCACATATTTTCATATGTTCAATTCGTGCGGACCTTAAGTCTAAAAACAAATTGTTTTTAAATGTCAGGTAGCTTTTTTCAGTGAAAAATCTGGAAAACCTTAGACATACAGACAAGGCTTTTAAAAGCTAGAAATGTTTACCTTAAACATGATCATTCATTTTATCGTGAATTGTAATTAATTTTACACGACCCCACAAGCTTTGAGCTTTGAATCTTATCGTGTTTAAATAAAGGATATGTATGTGCATCATATAGCCTTAAACATAGGTACAAAATGCACGTATGAAAAAGCACCGTGCTTAAAAGTAATCATACTTTAATCAATAATGTAATAATTAAATGTCTCCAAGAATGTGTTTCTCTGAGTCATTAGGGAAGTACTGTATATACTCGAATGGCAATTGACATATTGAACTGTTGGAATTTCTTTTCTAAAAATGCTACATATTAAATGTTATACAAATTATATTATTTGCTTTTGGTCTGGGAAGTGACGAGTATTGCATTTTCGATTCATAGATATCTCATCCAAGGTGGCTGTCACCCCATCAACATCGCGAATTTCATTTGGGGACACTTCAAGGTTTTATTGCGCTGTAAAACAGTCAACGCCGACAGCAGTTGTCCGATGGAAAAAGCAAGGAGAGAGAGGCTTCATTACAGCGGGTGGACGATTTACTTTGACTCCTGGGGGAGCCTTGCAGATAGCAGACAGCAAATTTGAAGACCAGGGACAATACGCATGTATTGCTGAAAATGCTGTTACTTCAGCAGCTTATAAAAGTGCTAATGCGGGGTCTCTTCACGTTACAGCCGGTACGTTTTCTTATAAGTCATAAAGTGAAAGCTCAGTTAAGAAGTCTGTCATTTAACGGTGGATCGGTAGTGTTTAAGAAGGCCAAGGGCTGTCTAGTAGACCAGACAGTGGTCTGAAGCTATTAGACGAGACATTGGTAGTCGATCAGACGACACACTGGTGTCCACTGGTAGTCTGTCAGAGGACAACTTTGCAGTTTTTCAGATATCATATTAGCAGTGCTTCATCAAACCTATTGGTAGACCGTCAGGAGCATGCGTGTAAATTACCACCGTGTAAATTCAGGCATTGTTAGTCTGTCAGACGTCATACTGGTATTCTCTCGGACTATCAATTAGTAGTCTCTGAGGCGATCCATAGACACTCTTTTATACAATACATCCATAGCTACGACTCACTGGCAGTGCACCAGTCGACACATTAATGGTAGTGTGGCGGCCGACACATTTATAGTGTGGTTGTTGATATATGCGTGCCAGTTGTCCTATTACTTGTACGTTGGCTGTCACGTGGCCTTGTATCACCAGACGCATTTAAAGTTTGCAATAAACACACTGGAAGTGCAACAGCAGACATATTGCATTGGTTAAATATACCAAGAGACACTTCAGGCATGTGTCAGTGGAAGTAAAAGAAGTGCGTCTGATGACAAATTAGTATCTGGCCAGCTGACAACGTGGTATTTTTTAAACTTCACAGTACGTGGTTAACTGTATCTTCCGTTACATAATCGTGCTGTGCTACCTCTTGTAAATCTTCCAAAAAAAGAAAACTTCGAAGTGGTACTTAAAATAAAATAACTCTGGTATTTTTTTAAAACAGATAGCGGTCTTCGTGGTGGTCCAACTTTCTCTGTGGCACCTAAGGATAGAATAGCTATCGTTGGAAGTAAGGTGGTACTTGAGTGTATTGCAAACGGATTTCCTAAACCGAGAGTCACCTGGCTACGAGATGGGTTGCCTGTGCTGTTTGGGAGTGACTATTCTCTTCTGGGGGAGAGTAACCTTCTGATAGAGTCAGTATCTGTGGTGCACGCTGGAATCTACACTTGCCGCGCATTGGCTGGAGCTAGAGTACAACAAGTCACTGCTAAGTTAGATGTACACTGTAAGTGATGTGTTAGTATTTAGCCCCACTCAGATCGGGCTACTTTTGATCTACTGGGACCAGGGATGGGACTTTCGAGTCCCTCAACCCTTATCTCTCAGAGTATCAGAGTCTTGACTATGAAACGTTCGGGATCCATAGCACGTCCAAAATTTTTCCTTTGAGGTCCATAATATTAAATCCTACATATCCAATCCAGATTTATGTTATTGTTTTCATAAACGTTAGAAAACTGGTAAGGGAAATTATCTGGAAAAGTAAAGATTAACTGAAAAAGCTTAAAGATAGAAAAATTCGAAATCTGAAAAAAAAAAAAAAAAAAAAGACTTGCCAGTCAAACAATGGATCTTTGGCCAGTGGTAAGTGATATGTCTTACCAAATTCCTAGACAGGTTTAAAAGAAATTCACAAAGTTTTGCGTTTATTGCTTGAATGCCATTTGTTACAACCATTCAAAGTTGGTGGGGGCCTCAAAAGTTAGCCCCCCCCCCCCTCGTCTGAATAGTGTTAATCCTCACTCAGAGCTGGAATAGACCGGGCATGCACTTGGAATAAGTAGGGGAATAAGAGAAGTGAAGCAGGTATGATGTCATGCACTCGCTTCCGACTCGCCTATTTCGAGACAGCTTTTATGCAGTTATCACAATGTAATTTTAGAATCGCTCACTATTTTCCGTACAGTTTTGGCAGGATATAATAGATATTGAAACTCTTAAATGCCATTGTTACAAATTGAAAATACGAGGATGCATTTTTATTTCCTGAACGCTAGAACAAAATGTTTAGGGACCTGAAAAGTGTGTACACTAGATCGTGAATGCTCGTCCGTCGTGTTTTGCTCATAAAACCGAAAGGCGTGAAATTTGCACAATGTGACAGCTCATCAATCGTGCGTTTTTTGCTTTCGTCTTCTTAGTGTGTTCTAAATTATCATATTTGTGCCTTCACGTGTGGTTCAACAGACCCATGTAATCAGTCTCCAAATGCCGTCACAAACTCTTTGCTTCCCCCTTTAGATGCTCCAGTTTTTATAAAGAAACCAAAAGATGTCCATGCTTACTCTGATTCCAATGCGTTGTTTGAGTGTTTTGCGGACGGAATACCTAAACCAGACATCACATGGAGACGAAATGGAGACATGATTGAAAACTCAGATTTCAACACTATTGGAGACGGTTTCTTGCTCGTTAAGATGCTGGTCCTGTCAGACATGGGACCTTATCAGTGCTTTGCCGAGAACTCGTTAGGAAAAATCCAGGCAACCGCAGAGCTTGCTGTTTACATGAGAGGTAAGTATTTCCTGTTTAAGTTAAAAAAATCTTCGGCTTGTTATGAGAACAATCGGGGATATTGCGGCGCATCCCAGTGCGCAATCCACTTAAACCTTAGTTGGTCTTGGTAGAGGCACTTTTAGGTTTTTGGCTTAGGTCTTTTTAGCACATTTCCTTTAAAAATTCAAAAAATTGCATCATTATTCTCTTTCATTTACTTTTAAGCATTTCAATTATGCCCACTTTTTGTAGCTCTGAATTTAGCTTAAATTCAGTCTATCTATGCCTGTGTTCGTAATTTTTTCTTAGAGTTTAAATTCAATTTCAATAACTTTATTTTTTTTTTCATTTAGGACCAATTCTTACAATGTCATTAATAAGGCTCTCTCTGGAAACCCGCCACGTAGAGGCATAGACCAAAGTGGATAAATAAAGCTTTCCTTTAGCTAACCTATTCATACTGCACCATTTTTACAGCAATATGGCAATTCTCGGACCCTTTTGATCCCAAACGAGGAATAGTGAACATTAAATAGTACAATAAACAAGAATTAGGCGTCTGACGTCAAATCAAAGATCAGCGGCTTGTGATGGCCTCACTTACTGTAGTATCAGTGATTTTATGTCCACTTTGCATTCCCGTTTATGATCAAGATTAAGAAGACTTGATGTTGTTCTGTCCATTTGTTTTAAACAGGACAGCCACTTCCACAACAGCTAACCACAAATGCACTGGATATTACAACAACCTCAGATACCACAACATCCCCAGATATCATGAGATCCCCGGATACCACAACAAGTCCAGATGCCACAACAACTTCAGGCACCGTAACCTTCCCAGGTACAAAGGTAGTCCTACTTACCACAACATCCCGAAATGTCACAACAGCATCAGATACCACAACCGTTGCAGGTACCCCGGTATCGTCTGATACCACATCAGTTCCAGATGCCACAACAACCTCAGGAACCATAACCGCCCCAGCTGGTACCAGGGTAGTCCCACGTACTACAACATCCCCAAATGTCTCAATAATCTCAGATACCACAACCATTACAAGTAGTACTGAGACCTCGGATACCACACCGGGTCTAGATATCACAACCACCTCAGGCACCACAATCATACCAAGTACCACGAAAGTCCAAGTTACCCCAACATCCCCAAATGTCACAACAGCCTCAGATACCACAACCGCTTCAGGTATCCCGGTATCCTCTGATACCACATCAGCTCCAGATACCACAACACCTTCAAGCACCATAACCATGCCAAGTACCACGAAAGTCCAAGTTACCCCAACATCCCCAAATGTCACAACAACCTCAGATACCACAACCGTTACAGGTACCCCGGTATCCTCTGATACCACATCAGCTCCAGATACCACAACACCTTCAAGCACCATAACCATGCCAAGTACCACGAAAGTCCAAGTTACCCCAACATCCCCAAATGTCACAACAGCCTCAGATACCACAACCGTTACAGGTACCCCGGTATCCTCTGATACCACATCAGCTCCAGATACCACGACGCCTTCAAGCACCATAACCATGCCAAGTACCACGAAAGTCCAAGTTACCCCAACATTCCTAAATGTCACAACAGCCTCAGATACCACAACCGTTACAGGTACCCCGGTATCCTCTGATACCACATCAGCTCCAGATACTACGACACCTTCAAGCACTATAACCATGCCAAGTACCACGGAAGTCCAAGTTACCCCAACATCCCCAAATGTCGCAACAGCCTCAGATACCAAAACCGTTACAGGTACCCCGTTCTCCTCAGAAAGCACAACAAAAATCCTTAGTACTACAACAAACGCAGATATCAAAGAAACTTCAGATGCCTCAACAATACCAGATATGACGACCGTTCCGAGCACTTTAGCATCCTCAGAGCCCACAACAATCCAACATTCTACAACTAGCTCTGAGATCACAGCTAATTTAGATGTTACAGGATCTCCAGAGATCACAATAACCCCAGATGTCACAGCAATGGCAGACATAACATCTCCAGAGATCACAGCAATCCCAGAGTTCTCAACAATCCCAGGTACAGTTACCGCTCCTGAGATAACAGTACCTCCACTGTTTACAACAAATTCAGGTACTACTTATGGCATCCCAGGTGCTACAGCAGCCCCAGAAACCACAACAAACGTAGAACCTACAGCAGCCCCAGAAACTACAATATCTTCAGATACCACACCAATCTCAGATGCTGCGGACACCTCAGACACTACAACATCTTCAGATATCACACCAGTGTCAGATGCTACGGAAACCCCAGCCACTACATCTTCAAATACCACACCAGTCTCAGATTCTACGGAAACCCCAGACACTACAATATCTTCAGATACCACACCAGTTTCAGATGCTACGGAAACCCCAGGCACTACATCTTCATATACCACATCAGTATCAGGTGCTACGGAAATCTCAGTCACTACAACATCTGCACATACCGCACCAGTCTCAGATTCTACGGAAACCCCAGACACTACAATATCTTCAGATACCACACCAGTTTCCGATGCTACGGACACCTCAGACACTACAACATCTTCAGATACCACACCGGTGTCACATGCTACGGAAACCTCAGTCACTACAACATCTTCAGATACCACACCAGTGTCAGATGTTACGGAAACCTCAGTCACTACAACATCTTCAGATACCACACCAGTCTCAGATTCTACGGAAACCTCAGACACTACAATAACTTCAGATACCACACCAGTCTCAGATTCTACGGAAACCTCAGACACTACAACATCTTCAGATTCCACACCAGTCTTAGATTCTACGGAAACCTCAGACACTACAATATCTTCAGATTCCACACCAGTCTCAGATTCTACGGAAGCCCCAGGCACTACACCATCTTCAGTCGCCAAACCAGTCTCAGATGCTGCGGAAACCCCAGACACTACAACATCTTCAGAAGCCACACCAGTCTTAGATGCTTCAGAAACCCCAGACACTACATCTTCCTATACCGCACCAGTGGCATATGCTGAAGAAACCCTAGATGCCACAACAGCTCCAGATGTTACAGTAACCCCAGATATCACAACATCTCCAGATGCCATGACAAACGCCGGAGTCTACGCAAGGAGGGATGTTGAAACAAAAATGTCTCAAGGTTTGAAATTAAAATAAGTAACTTAACCTTTTCCCCCAGCGAGGAACTAAACCTTTTATACTCTTCACATTATCAAAACAATGGTGCGCAGCCATAAAAGTGATAGCTTCAAAACCCATAATTTAGGAGTGGTTGTTTCCATGTTAACCAAAAGAAAAATTGAAAGAAATGTATAGTATCCTTGTAATTTAAAGGGTTAAATAAACAGCCCTTCTGAGTTTAAAGAAAAACGAAAAGAAGACATCACGTCTACGTCTACTTCTAAGTCTCGCTTGATTAAAATTACATTTAAAGTGTGTAGAATATCTGAAACTATGAAAAGTGGCGAGTAAGTTTGCCATGTCGTTGTCACGTTGGAAAACGTTTTTGCGTTTTACACTGAATGTAAAGTCAAAGACACCTCAATGTCGAGTAGTCAGTATAACGCGCCAACTTTACGTCATCATTTTATGTTACTCTGAACCGCACATCTTATCGTTATTTGCTATTTTATGTATCTGAGTCAGCCTGTTAATTAACGTTTTGTTACATCAATCATTTTTGCCTTGAATCACGTTTTTTTACCACGTATTTTATAGTCCCTAAACCACCTGGAACGCAAACCTACATAAGAAAGAAAATGGTGAGAGAAGGATTGGAAAAGGTTATTAAATGCGTAGCAACAGCATCTCATAAACCCGATGTAAACTGGTACAGAAAAGGCAAGAAGCTTGACACGACAAAATGTACGCATCCAAACGACGTCTCTTGTCAGGACATCGTTTACGAGGTTTATGAAGAACGGAAGCCTCAAGCGTTACGGTCTACTCGAGCTCGCACTATTCAGGTGCTTAAAATACGAAGCGCATTGTACCCCAGAGATCAAGGAACGTTTGAGTGCATAGCAACAAATGGCCATGCACTTCCTGCTAAGTTAATTGTCGACCTGGATGTCCAAGGTATTTAGAACGATGTGAAAGCTGTAAAAGTCTAACTAAAAACAAACACTGATAGCCGCTGGAGGTCACACATATCATTTTAATTTCAGGTCAAACAATCCATCTCAAATTTGAAACAACTTAATATACCTATAAAATCTTTTCTATTTGAGCTCAGTTTGCTCTAGTCGTGGCATAGCAAATTTAAACCTTTGACGAATTATTAAGGCCCTCACGGACCCGAAAGTGACAGTCCTGATTTTACCCCTTAGTGAACTTTACCATCGGAAGCGCAAATCATTTTCTTTCCTGTAAGGCCCGAACTAATCTTATAATACCATTTGGTTTGCCACAATAAAGCTCCACCCAGACTGATTAAAAAGCAAGATGAGATAATAAGTGGAAACGGCAAGAACTCCAAGGTGGAATGCGTCCTGGAAAAGGGCAACCCTCTACCAACTTTCAAGTGGGAATACCAAAATATGGTTTGCCCGGATTTTGATACGAGGAACTGTCAACCAGTTGAAACTCATTGGATGTCCGTTCCTGAGAGTGCGATAATGACACCTAAGCAAACACCGACAAATGGGAGTATCGTCAAAGTTCAAAGTGTTCAGGGAGTTGTACGCTACCGTTGCCAAGTGTTCAATAAATTGGGAAGTGATTCTCATGTCATCAAATTCGTCCGTCGTGGTAAGAAGATGCTACGTGTTTTAACAATTGATATTTTTAGACTCGGTGGAAATTTCCGGGACATTTTTTTCTCTCCCTCGTTCGGCGTGGCACGAAGGTGCTGTGTGTATTAACAATTAAGATCTTTTGGTTCGGTGGAAGTTACTCGTATATTTTTTGCTCTTCCAAGTTGTGACAATTTGCTTGTTACGTCGCTTTTATGCGTGAAAACAAGAAGAATGTTATTTTGGACTTTCATGTCTTATTCTAAACTGTGCTTTACTCCATACAGAACCTCTGGCGTTTGTGAAACAACCACAAAATGTTTTAAAAGGATACATAGGCCAGAAGCTGGTGATAAACTGTTCCACCAATGACGAAGATGCTTTGGTGTCCCTCCGGCACAAACGTCACCCATTTGAAGCCTTCACCGAACGCAAACCCAAAGCAAACAAACTTTGGAAAAAACGACAAGTGTTCTTACTTCTGAATCTCGATTTAAGAGATGCTGGAATATACTCGTGTGAAGCAAGCAATGGTGCTAATGAGACCATTAGATGGCCAGCTGGTACAGGATATTTAATGCTCAGTCGAGGTAAGGTGATAACCATATTTATTTTGATAATCCAAAGGCGTTCCATTCAGTGCATCTTAGTAAATTAAATAGTCTGCATTTGTGTTCATGGAGAAGAAATTAATTATCAGTTACTGTAGACTACCAGGTTATAGAAATTGGAAGCATAACTTGAGCCAATTCCAACTAATTCCCGAACTCGTTGGAAATGTGAGGTATATTTGTAATGTGGTCTCAAACGTTGTCCGTGCAAATGCTGACAAGGTGAATGCAAAGAAGCGAAGGCGATTTGTAAGAAATAAACTTCTCATGAATATGTCTCTTTCAAAATATATTGGTTTCCTTTGGAGCAACCTTCAAACAAAGCGTCGTTTGTTTGTTTGTTGGTGGGAGGCATGGTAGCCTCATGGTTGGTGCGCTCGACTCCAGATCGAGCGATCCAGGGACATTGTGTTTCGTTTTTGGCCAAGACACTTTACTCTCAAGTAGAATAGAAACTATTTCAGCCAGGAAAGCCTTAGACACAATGATAGAAAGACATAAATAGCTTACAAGTGGCTTTAATTTCGACAAGCGTCTCTGAAATGAAAGAAAAACTTCGAGTCCCGAGCAGGATGCGAACCCGCGTCTCCTCGACTAGTATGCGAGGAGACGCGGGCTCGAATTCTGCTCGGGACTCGAAGTTTTTCTTTCATTTCAGAGACCCGTGTCGAAAGCCGCTTGTAAGTAATTTAGGTCTTTCTATCATCGCTTTGCTCTCACAGTACCTCAATCACCTAGGTGTGTAAGTGGGTAGAGGAAAATTTAATGCCGGGGGTAACCTTGCGATCGACTAGCATCCCATCCAGAGGGAGTGGAAATACTCCTAGTCTTTTCATGCCACAGAAATCGCGATCGGAGAAAGGCGCCGGCCTGATCGGCCACTCTGCTCGTATGCAAACTGTACCTTGTTTGTTTGTTTGATTGTCTTTCTTCTAAGCTAACACTCTATTTTTTCAGAACCTCTCGCCTTCCTTAAACCACCACCGATTATTTTACGAGGATACGTGGGCCAGAACGTAGAGATAGATTGTTCCACCAATGATGAGGACGCTAAGGTTTCCCTTTTACACAAAAATCACCCGCTTGTTGCCTTCAAGAAACGACAGCTCGATGAAAATAAACTTTCAAGGCGAGGGCAAGTGTTTACACTGCTGAATGTGGATCTAAGTGATGCTGGAATTTATGCCTGTGAGGCAAGTAATCAAGCAAGTCGCATGATAAGGTGGCCATCCGGTACAGGATATTTGATTCTTTTTCGAGGTAAGGTAATGCATGTATTCAAGTTAAATATTCGGTTGCAATGATCATCCAGCCATGCACGAGCTCAAGCCACGCGACTTTAGCCACCTTAAACGGCCGATCGGAATACGTTTACCCTTACGAAAGATTTTCAAGACGTATTCAAAACAGTCTAGGAGACGAACGTCTCAAAAGTAGACCATTGTAATCGTCTTTACGGCTACGTGGGGTTACAAGCCAAACTTGCTGGACGGAATTTTCGTTCATTTTACGTTTGATCTTGGCTTATTCGCCTAAGCAATTAAATTTAAAATCGATGGAAATAATCATGGTTGTTTTAATTAATTCACTTTGGCCGTAACCCATATCTCGCCTTTTTTCAATGTAGTTGAATTACCACGTCACTTTGTCTTAATACCGACGACACCAATCATTGTACGGCAAGGACAAGAAGCAAAAGTGACATGTGAGTCAGAGGGTGTGTCAATAACGAAGCTAAAATGGAAAAGACAGGCAACGAAAGGGGATGTGTCCGTCCCAGACAGCATGGTCACTGTTGATAAAGACAGGTCCAACAATCGCGTCAGGGCCACCTTAACAATCACAAACGCTCAACCACAAGACGGTGGTGTGTACAAATGCGTGCTGATGGTTTTTGACAAGACTGATTACAAGCAGACTACATTACTCGTCAAAGGTATTTTAAACAGACCATAGACTTCAGTCTTACTTCAGGACAGCTATACACATCATTATCGTTATCAGACATTATTATCATTATCATTATCACTATCATTCTCATTCTCATTCTCATTCTCATTCTCATTATCAATAACATTATCATTATCATTATCATTATAGTTATCGTTATCGTTATCGTTATACAAATATGCAGCGCAAATTAACGTGTCAAGCATTATAAGAAACCTCGCAGATATCTTTCTTCCCATGAGGTGTAGCACTGCATTATAATTACAATTTCGTCCTTACTTGTAGATGACTGAATGCTTCCAAAGTTTATGGCAACCAAAGTCGATCAGGGGTAAATGAACTGTCACTTGTGTTTATGGGGTTTCATTGGACTCGCACTAGCAACGGTTCCTGGGCTATCGAAGTTCATCTGTGTCAATCAGTTTTCACTTTCTAATAAATAAAAAATACTGCTTATATATTTTTTTGTTTTTCCTTTTAAACAGAGCCTCTAGCATTCTTTATGCAACCGAAGACGGTCTTGCTAGGATACCTCGGCCAGAATTTAGAAATAAATTGTTCCACCAATGATGAGAATGCTACAGTGTCCCTTCTGCACAAACGACACCCACTTGGAGCCTTCACCAAAAGAAAACCTGAAGCGAAAAAACTTTTGATCCAGGGGAAGGTTTTTACACTGCTGAATCTTGATCTGAGAGATGGTGGAATGTATTCCTGTGAGGCAAAGGATCAAGCAAATAATCGCATTCGGTGGCCACTTGGTGCAGGTTATTTGATTTTCAGTCAAGGTAAGCTGATAAACAAAATAAGCTGCAAAGTGTAAGGCATGTTTTTTCTGACAATGTTCGCCAGTTGTGGATGGAAGATTCCACAATTTCCAGCCATTTTCATTTTACCCCAGTATACGTTTTGAAGGCGCGGTGGCCTCATGATTAGTGCGCTCGTCTTCGGATCGAGCGGTCCGGGTTCGAGTCCTGGCCGGGGACATTTTGTTGCCTGTTCTTGGGCAAAACACTTAACTCTCTCCGTGCCTCTCTTCACCCAGGTGTATAAATGGGTACCGGCGAACTTAATGCTGGGGGTAACACTGCGATGGACTAGCATCCCATCCAGGGGGAGGGGGGGGGGGTAGAAATACTCCTAGTCGCTTCATACTACAGAAACCGGGATAAGCTCCGGCCTAGTGGGCCACTTGGCTCGTATGCAGACCGAGAAAACGAGGTTAATCACTCAAAAAGTTAAGAACACTTGGCGATAAATCACGAAACATTTTGGCAATAAAAACAGCTTTGAATTTTGCTGGGCCGTAGAGTAGAATACGACCCGCTAAATTAACCAATCGCAGCTCGCGTAGTAACTGAGAGATATAATAACGTTTTTTACTACTATTACATTTCTTATTTAGTTATTTATTTATCTATTTATTTGTTTTGTGTTTTTAGTGTAAGTGAGTCTAGTAAACATGATTGTGACTGTAATTGTCAATGTCAATTGTCAAGTAAAGCTGATGTCATAAACTTTTACATAGAGTCAGATATTTTTATAAGGTGGTAGTTCATTCGGCCGAATAACGCATTGTCTAAGTACCTCTTGTTGTAAAATAACTGTTCAGTTTCTTCATCCGAGCGGGCTACTAACTAACTGAAACGCGGCTAAGCTGAGGTCAGTAGGTCTCAATCTCTGTATGTAGGTCTCAATACATTCTTTCAAGTTACTTTTTCTTTAAAGTAAGGGTAAACGAAATTATAATAGTTGGTGCAGTGTAGTCGTTAACATAAACATAGTTTTGAAGAGGTCGGTTTTTGGTCATTTAAAACGCTGTCACTGTCCTGCAGAGTCGAGTGAAAAGGTCTCGTTTGATTATTTGTGGCTAATGGTGCTAAGTCACTGATTCTTGGATTTCGTTGCGATGTCTAGGTGGCTTTTAGTATCTTAGATGGAGTCTAAATAAAGTCCAAGTTTGTTGGTTTTGCGAAGGTCGTTTCGAGTCGTTTATAAGTCGTCTGTAAGGTGCAGGTTGTTGTTGGCATCCCGAGTTCAGAGAAATCTTCTTTTTAAATCACTATTTGAGTGCAATGTTCTCGGGCAGATCATTTCTAAAAACTATACAAAAAATAACCCTGTTTTGTTATTAATTTGCAGTTAAGCTACCTGATTACTTTGTGCTGAAACCAGAGAAGCCAGTCATTGTACTGAAAGGTCAAGCCGTAAACGTCACATGCGAATCGGAAGGCGTCTCAGTAACTAAGCTGCAATGGAAAAAGCAAACCGACTCAGGAGATGTGTCTGTCCCAGAGGACATCGTTACTATTGCTAAAGACAGGTCCACCAACCGAGTCAGAGCCATCCTCAGGATCACAAATGCTCAAGTTGAAGACGGCGGAGTCTACAAATGTGTTCTGAGAGTGTTTGAAAAGACAGGTTATAGGTTCACCAGGATCGTGGTTGACAGTAATTGACCAGAGCTAAAACAGCTTTTTCATCCAATCAATAGCAAGTTCGGACTTTCAAGGCTACAGAATCAGAGTCGGCGGAGCGTCTTCATTACTATATGACTTTCTGAGAAAAAAGTGATTTTGAAGTCAAAATACCCCACTTTCTCGTGCACTGATAAGATGGGGTAGGAATTTGCTTGTATATGTAAGGGTAGGTTTAGTTTTCTTTCCCAGCTAATTCTAAATCAACACGACACAAAAACAGAAAAATAAAATCCTGGTTTATTCATGTTACAATACAAAGGGCAAAAGACCGACTAAAAAAAAGTTTGCCATTTGCCGTAAACGTCATTCTTTATCTCTCTAAGTTAGTTCTGAGATTATTTGGTAGGGGAATTTAAGCTGTTTTGGGAATTTTGTTACGCTGGTTCCTATTAATCGCTGGCTCTCACTGGTACATCAACTTGTAGCTATCTCTTCATCTACTTATTTTCTTGGGATTCCCTAGTTCTCAAGTCATTTTGGGCTATTGCAGTTATCAGTAGTTTGACGTACAAACTATTCGAATCGAAGGGTCTTTGTATTGAGCCTTTGCCTTGTATGCTTTGCTTACAGTTAAGAAAAGAATATGTGATTGCAGGCTTGACTGCTATAACAACGCTTCTCATTTTCATACACATTGCAGCAATTATATGAAATTCTTTGACTAATTCTTCACCAGTCCAACAATATAAGACACTTAAATAAAGTTTGCATTCATCATGAACTATACTCATGTACTTGTCAGTCTATGTGCACATGATTACAGCGCCCCTTGACACGTCGAGAGTTTTCTGCCCGTTGACTTGTTTTAAACAGCACAGGCCGTTTGTTTTTTGCAAAGATACAAAGTATCATTTACTGCGTAGTACCTGACGTGACACCGACGGAGAAAAACAAGAAGAACAAAACAAAAGAGAAATGATACGAAATGAACTGGTGTTCAGTTGTTTTGCATATCAGAAATTAGGTGGTCAATTTGCAAAAGGAGGCCATAAGGGACGACGGACAATTTTTTTTTGAGGGGTGGGGAAAGGTTGGGCAATTCCCACCCCCCCTCCCCCCACCAAAAAACAAAACAAAACAAACAAAACAAAACAAAACAAAACAAAACAAAACAAAAAAAGAAAAAACAAAACAAAACAAAACAAAACAAAAACAAAACGAAACAAAACAAAACAAAAATCCTTCACAGAAAAATGGGTGTCTCTAAACCGAAGACCTCTAAAACGAGGACCCTAAGACCCTAAGAACCTAAAAACTCTAAAACGAAGATCCCCTAATTTTCTAAGCATTTTTTACCTTTAGTGAAGTTTTGCTCCTTTTTCATCCGGCCACTTTTGTTCATATTGGTGTCGATGTTTTATCCGCCATCTTGAGCTGAGTAACCAGGCTCCCACACTTGGCTGGAGTTAGTTTACCTGCCGATTTGCTTCCTTTTGTCAATCATATGGAGGAAGAGAGCGTGCGCGCTTTGCCTTTTTTACCCGGCACAGTTTGGCAAGTGAATTGCTCGTCGATTTCGGGATCTGTGTTAAATTCATATTGGTCTTCATGCTTTTTTCACGGCTGATAGGTTATGACAACATTTTACAATGCAAAGACTCCTACGTTGTTCTTGCCATATATTATTTCAATATCATCATTTCAAACGTTGGACTTCAAAAAATTGTGTTAGATGTACGTTCCGGGAAATTATTGATAAAATATGACGTAATCACAGAAAAGACAAGAAAGTGGTCGCATCATGTGAAATAAAGAATGTTACCTTGTATTGTACTATGTTTTAGGTATAAGTTCATAGAAGATCAGAAAGTATGTATACTTGGAAAATTCCTGGAAAGAGATCAACGAACCTATGTCAGTTCCGACTAGTTTAATACATTTCGGCCTTTCGCTTTCTTCAGATAAAAAGCTATGAACAAGATAGAAAGATTTGCGAAGTCGGACTAGTTCAAACACATTTATTTGCTACTCCGAGTTTCATGCTTCTCGCTAAGCAATCAGTGTAAAAGTAGTTTACCAATGGACGCCGAAGCCTCCCAGGTATGCAATGTTTCCATGTAAATCTGTAGATAGACGTAAATGACGGGACTCTTGACTGTTTCCTCGATTTAATACTGAATAATACTTCATAATGAATAGAACTAAACATTTTTTTGCAGACTATTTTGAACGCTGACAGAATTACTTTACCGTTTAAAAGTTTTTAGAAAGGTTCTCCCAAAATAAGCTGGCTTTGAGTATATAACAAAATATCTGGCCCCAGATGTTCAAAGGCTGGATAACGCTATCCACCGGGTCAATCGCTATCCAGTGGATAAGTGTTAACAAACCAAACCACGCTATCCACCTTTCGAACAACCCGGGCCTGCATTTTAGGGCCAAATGGAGGTTTCATACTGCGAGCGCCACTTCCGGCCAAAGTACTAGTGTGAGAGCTTGGTTGCTCAGCTCAAGATGGCGGTTAAAATCTTCACGCGGTTTGTTGTTGTTGTTATNCATGATTGACAGAAGGAAGCAAAACAGTAGGTAGCCTAACTTCCGGCCAAGTGTGGGAGCTTGGTTACTCAGCTCAAGATGGTGGATAAAACATCGACACCAATATGAACAAAATTGGCCAGATAGAGAAGGAACCAAACTTCAGGTAAAAGGTAAAAAATGCTTAGAAAATTAGGGGGTCTTCGTTTTAGAGTTTTTGGGGTCTTAGGGTCTTAGGGTCTTAGGGTCTTAGGGTCTTCGTTTTAGAGGTCTTCATTTTAGAGACACCCCTTTAAAACTCTGGCAGATTATTTGAGAAAACGTGGTATGGCCCACATGGCCTGACAGAGACTTTACTCTACCCTTTTTAGGTGAGGAAACACCTTTAAAAATAATGACACATTCATTCAGTAGTTAATTAATTAAATAAATAATTCATTAAAAATGCTCACTTTGTTTCTAGGACTGCCATAGGCTACCCCTAGGCGAAACTGATTTTTCATCATGCATCACCAAGGCCACTCATTGGACGTTAGTGGACATTCCCTCTTAACTTGTACATCTAGCATTCAAGATGGTCTGCTAGAACTACCATACCATATCTCAGAATGAAGTCATAAACTGAGAGTTCGTCTCATCCTCCACTCCTCAGTAACACCCATATTAATAGATTTCCTTGATTTCTTAAGAGATTCAGTGATCTGAACTCAACTTAGCTTTCTACACCAATACCAGCTTCCAAATTTAGTCAGTGCTTACATTAGAAATTGTCCAAGTAATTGCTTTCTTTTCTAAGTTCATAAGTTGCTAGAATTGACAAAATCAATAACTATTGGATACAATCTGCACTCACCCCCAATGTTGGCGGAATAAGCTATTCCAACTCCACAGAAAGAATTATTAGCCACTGCTGAGATAATACCAGCACATCTGATACCATGGCTAGTAAAAAAGAAAAAAAATTGTTAACTTCACTTAATAACATTCATATCAGTTAGTAATAGATTGATACTTCTAAAATTAAGAAATCATCAGTTTTGTAATGATCAGTGGTATTTTGTATGATTACAGACGTGCGCATTGTACCAGGACTGGGTAGCCATGTTGGAGCAAAACTTGGATCTTGTTTACTGAAGCTGTGTCCATCATGCTCTTAGAACAAGAATATTACATGGTGTCAGAAGCAAAGTAAGAAACAGAAATTCAGCCACTGATATAGCGAAGTTTTGGATAAGATACAGACCATATTTCAGAGCCATCAGCATCAGCGATCGTAGTTCATGTCACAGGATCAGTTGAATCCTATTGCACCCGAGGGAGAGGAAAACACCAAAGAAATAAAGTAATAACAAGCTGAAGATCAAGAAATCACCAAAAAAATAAAGCAATTACCAGTTGAGGACGGAGGAAAGACACCTGAAATGGTGATGCAGTTAGGCCTTCCACCTCCAGAACCTCTCAGCTTAAAAGGGGAAACATCTCGACCAACCAGAAGAAGTTCAAACAGAAATACACAAACTACGAAATTGTGACCAGAATAAGCTTGAAGGACAGTGAAACCAGAGTAGCAACACTTCTGACAGTCATCGGCAACAATGCAATTGATGTTTTCAACACTCTAACCTGGGATGAAGAGGATGATGAAAAGAAAATCGAAAAGGTACTGTTGAAAGGAACACTGTGAACTGAAGAAAAATGTCAGCTACAAGTGATACAAATTCTTCTCAAGAGCCCAAGAAAGTGGCGAAAATACTGACCAATACGTAACAATATTAAGAAAGCTTTGTGAAACATTGGAATTTGGAACACTGAAGACCTCTCTCATCAATGACCGAATTGTACTTGGTGTAAACAAGACAAAAAAACAAGAGATTACTCAGGGTGCAGACCTTACCCTTGAGAAAGCATTAAACATGGTACGATCTGCAGAAGCAATGGAAATGAAAATGAGCCTCTTTCATTTCTCTTTCTCTTTGGAGCTTAAATATTCTTGGGAAAATTTTTCTACAGTTGACATTGCATGTTCTTGCACTTCACAAATCAGCCTTGACTTCCCTTCGACTCGGAAAAGCTTCTTCATCTAGAAGGTTCAACAACTTGTTCTTTATCCTAGTGAAGGCTGATTTATCCTTTGTCTTTTGCTGCTTTAAGCTTTTGATTCGGTCTTCTTCTTCGTCCATTGCTTCGCCAAGCTCACCGTCCACTGACATGATTTAAAACCTCGTTCTGGAACCATCAAATGTTTACCAGATAAACATTTATTCTATCACAGATGATTACAGGAACCAAACCTTAAAACAATGCCTAGACAATCCAAGTGTCCTCAAAATTCGAAAATGTCCACGAGGTTCCGATCTGTTCCGTACAAGCCGAGGATTAAAATTAAACTTATTTAAGCCAGCAAAAAAGGTTAAGTTCTGAACTAATAAATAGGGAACTTAAGCAAACCACGACGACGACGGCAACGTGAACGTCACAAAACAAAAGGTTTAATTAGCAAAACAATAGCTGTGCACGTTCGTCATAAATCGTTGTACATTTCTTTGCCGTCCTCTACAAAACAACAACGTGAAACGACCAAGTTTTGCGTCGTCTACGAAACGTGGACGAAGACGGCTAATTTTTCGTATTTCCAGTTGGAACTGAACGCCGCCGTTGCATATGTAGCTTAAGCACTTTTTTAGAGCCATTGGCGTACCCAACAGATCTAGACAATCGCGAATTTCATTTCTAAAATATAAATTCATTTTTTACTAGTCGCCGTCCTCGGCGTCGGCGTCGTCGTTGCTTAAGCTCCCTAATGCGAAAAACATACCATTACAAGTCTACCACAAAAGGATCACGTAACTTGGAAAAGTCTATTCAAACACACTAATGAACCTAAATGTCTCCTGTTCACTGGACAGTGACTCATCACTGCATGGAATTGGAAGGGAGATGAACAAGTCAACCTACAAGAAAACACCCTCAGATAATGAAGAAAAGACCTCCGAACAAGACGTTCAATAGCTGGAAATGTGGAACCAGACATGGCTCAAGGGAGTGTCCTGCATATGGCAAAACACGAAACTATTGTGAGAGACGAAATCACTTCCAAAGTGTGTGCAGTCCATGGAAAAAAAAGTCCATGGACTGGGCGTAGAGCAAAAAGAAGAAGAACGTGATCTTGACTCAGTCCTATTTGTAGGAGCTGTCACTACAGAGGTTCAGATCCAGAATGAGGAGTGCTATGTGACGTTGCCAGTGAAGGGACATCACAAAACTCAAGATAGACACCGGTTCTCAAGTCAACATCATGCCTTTCAAAGACCTAAGAAACATAGCTGGAAGCAATTAATCCACAGAAAAATGCCTGCAATAATAACCTAGTCAGTACCTCCAAAGGCAAGCTACCAGTTACTTGACTTGACTTGACCGGATGAGTCAACACCTTGGCGACTTGGAAGGAGTTGAAACCAACATCGATGACATAGTGCGTGCAGAAACAGAAGTAAAACGTGACCATTGTCTACAAGCAGTCCTGGAATGATGTGAGAAGATTAACCGAACACTGAACATAGAAAAGTGTGTCTTCAGGGTCAAGTCACCTACACTAGTCACAAACGCACACAAGAAGGAATAAAGCCTGATGATGAAAAGGTGCATGCCATGAATGACATGCCTGCACCAATGATAAGAAAGGAGTAGAAAGACTCCTTGGAACAGTCAATTATCTAGGCAAGTTCATCCCAAATCTGGCAACTGTCACTGGACCTATCAGAGTTCTACTACAAAAGGATATTGAATTTCAGTGGTTACATGAACAAGATAAAGTACTTCAAGAAATCAAAGCATCCTAACCAAAGATGGAGGGCCAGTCCTGAGATTCTTTGATGTACAGAAGCCTGTTACCATCAGCTGTGATGCCTCCCCAACTGGCCTAGGAGGGGTGCTGCTGCAAGAGGAACGCCCTGTTGCCTATTCTTCAAGATCCCTCAGCGACACAGAATCAAGATAGGCTCAAATACAAAAGGAACTTTTGGCTGCTCAGTTCAGCTTAGGACGTTTCAACCAATACACCTATGGAAAGAGAGTTACAGTACCGCTCAAATGTAAGTTACCACCATCTCATGAGACGCGCCTTGTTTCTCTCGAGACACGTCTTGTTTCTCTCAATAAGTGTCTTGTCTCTCTTGACACACCTCTTGTTTCTCTTGAGCCACGTCTTGTTTCTCTCGAGACGCATCTCATTTCATTGACATCTTTTCTCGTGAGAGGTTCGCAGATTTGTGTGCCGAGCATGAACTGGTGATAGGAAAGTCTGTTTTTCCACACAAAAGAATACATAAAACCACTTGGGTCTCACCAAACTACACTGCTGTAAACCAGAGAGACGACCTCTGCATATCAAGGAAGTTTAGAAGAACACTGCTGGATGTGAGGGTGATGAGAGGAGCAGATGCCAGTTCGGATCATCATCTCCTGGTGGGTAAACTACAACTTAAGCTGAAACAATCAGGCAGCTGCGCTGCAAGGAGTGTGAAATACAACATCAACTCACTGAAAGATCCCTTTATTACCCAGCAATTTTCTATTGTGACCAGGAATAAATACCAAGCCCTCCAAGATATGCAGGACCCCAGTAATCCAACAGACAAAAGTTGGGATAGCCTGAAGAAGGTATGGACAGAAGCAAGCGAGGAAATACTTGGGCGAAAGAGACAACATGGCAAAGCTTGGATATCAAAAGACATCATCTCAAAAGTCATCCTGAAAAGATCAAAGAAAGAGAACCTTAACTAGGCACACACAAGACTGCAAAAGGAGAGGGCCCATGCCGAGTACCCTGAAGCAAACAAGGATGTTAAAAAAGTGTGAGGAAGGACAGGAGCAAGTTCATTGATGACTTAGCAAAAGAAGCAGAGGCTGCAGCTAGGCAACACAACATGAAGACACTTTATGATACAACTAAGCAACTCTCAGGGAAGTTTAAGGCAACAAACCACCAAATTAGGGATTTAAATGGCCGTCTACTAACAACAACAGAGGAGCAACACAAAAGATGGGTAGGGCACTTTCAACAGCTCCTCAATACGCCCCCCCGAATGGAACCTCCAATACTGCCACCAGCTAACCAGGAACTTGATATAAGCTGTGAACCCCCAACCAGGGCTGAAGTTGAAAAAGCAATCAAATCCCTAAAGAACAACAAATCAGCAGGTCCTGACAACATCCCTGCGGAGGTATTGAGAGCTGACATCAGTACCTCAGTGAACATGCTACATGGCCTTCTGATAAAGATCTGGGATCAGGATTGATACCATCAGAATGGAGAGAGAGGATCCTGGTTAAGCTAGCTAAGAAAGGCGACCTTAGTTTGTGCAAGAACTATAGGGGAATAATGCTCCTGTCACCTTCTGGAAAGGTCTTGAATCATATAATCCTGGAACGTATGAGGGAAGCCGTGGATAGGATACCGCAGGAGAACCAAGCAGGCTTCAGACCATCAAGATCAATAGCAGATCAAATAACTACCCTGTGCATAATCATAGAGCAGTCGCTTGAATGGAGGACGGCACTCTGTAGAAATTTCATTGACAACGAGAAAGCTTTAGATAGCCTGGACAGAAATGTCCTGTGGGACCTGATGGCCAACTATGGAATCCCTAGCAAGATCATATCACTTGTTAAGAACACGTATGAGGGAACAAACTCCCATATTCTTCATGAGGGAGGCTTAACTGAAAGCTTTAGTATCAAATCAGGCATAAGACAGGGCTGCCTCCTATCAACATTCCTTTTCCTTCTTGTTGTTGATTGGATTATGAAAGAGACGACTCAAGCTCAAGAAATGGAATTCAATGGACCCTGGTAGACCAACTTGAAGATCTGGATTTTGCTGATGATTTGGCACTTCTGGCACATACTCATACTCAGATGCAGGCGAAAACTACTAAGCTTGAAGCTCTCATCTTAACTAGGGCTTTAGATCAATACCCATAAGACAAAGACCATCAGGATTAATAGCAATGCGAGTGAGCAGATCATGATTGATAATCTCGGCATAGATGATGTAACATCCTTCACATACTTAGGTAGCGTTATTAATATCACGGGAAGAACAGATGAAGATGTATTGGCAAGGATAGGAAAAGCACGCAGCGCATTTAAAACCTTAGCAAGCATCTGGAGTTCCAGGGAAATAACAACAACCACCAAAATTAGAATTTTCAATTCTAATGTTAAGTCTGTATTGCTTTATGGGTCAGAAACATGGTGAATGACTGAGAATACCGTGTCAAAACCACAGACCTTTATTAATAGATGCCTGCGTAGAATCCATGGTATCTACTAGCCTGCCACTACATGTATCAGCAACAATAACCTATGGGAACCCACACGGTAAGCACCTGTGAGACAGGAGATGACAAGCAGAAAATGCACACGGATTGGCCACACACTCAGAAGACCAAATTACTGCACTGTCTGACAAGCTCTTCATTGGAACCTACAGGGAAGTAGACAGAGAGGGAGACCACACAACAGCTGGAGGAGAGACACACACCACACCATCCAGTTGAGAGGCCTTTCCTGGCACCAGCTGGAACGCCTGTCCAGGGACAGAGAGGACTGGAGGGATTGTCAGTGGCCTATGTTCCGAGATGGAATAATTAAATGCTTCAGATCAGATCAGAAACTGTTTCATCCATGTTCCGTGACAAGATGAGAACTCTAGTCGCTCCTCTTTTTGAGATGCCAGCCCAGATGTGTGCCATGAGGGGATGTTTTGCACATCCTTTCAGCTTCGGCTGTTCCCACCTGTGGCAGAAGCAGAGCTTCGCATGCTTTAATTTCCATTTGGACAGAACATTCATCAGTGGAGATCATGTCATCAAACTGCTCGTTGTCTTCTAAACATTTCAAGCAGAACTCCAGTCACTTGGTGCGGTTTGTCTCACATATGATATATGATATGACTAAAACATGTTACAAATTACAAAGTTGAAGAATATATGCCACCTGTGACACAATACCTTAAAGCCAACCACTGATTTATGTGATTGTCTGAACACTAATTGAGGTTGTGGCTTTTATGTTTAATTTACTACTGAGCTTACTACAGGTGAAGCTTTTGCCAGTAAGCAGAAACTGTCTGCAACTGAAACTGGATGCATCACACGGGGTCCACCAGAACTCCAAGATTTCCCACTTGTTTAGGAATTGATAAATCTGGGATATCTGCCCACAGAACATGTGTTTCACCTTCCTCTTGGTTTGTATGCTGCAGACTTGGTAGTTTCCTGCAGCCTCGGCAAGCCTGGCAAGGTTCTCCAGCTCTGCTGTGCCTGTTGTTTCTCCTGGATTTTCCACATTTTTCCTTTGAAGCCATGACCAATTTAGCTCCTTGAAGTGCGTTATGCCACAGCACTCAGTTTTGCAATGAAACGGGGAAATGCTCTATTTTTGTGCGATTTTGGGAACCTCCTGTAAGCAGCCGCTGGCCTTTCCATGTGTTTTTCACTTGTTTCTCTCCTGCCTTTAAACCCACTCCCCACTCTGCTCATTCTGTTGTTGGGAGAGGAGAAGAAAGTTCTGGTGCAATGGTGTGGAGCTAACTACATGTATGGAAACGTTGGTTGCAAGCAGCCAAGATTGCTGGTCTGTTGCGGGGAATAATTGTTAAATATTATCAGTACCTTTGACTGCCACTTGGTGATGGATCTTCATCATTTTCTAGAAAGTCAAAACTAGCATCTGGGTCCTGACAAGATAGGTAACAGAGAAATGAAAATTAAAACCAATTGTCTTTGTAGAAAAGGTGACTAATGTCTTGTTAACTCTCAGCATTGGAAACTCAACACTTGCATGTACAGTTTGCTGGAAAAGAAAGGAGGAGAGGAAGGAGAAAAGAAGGGAAGGAGGTACTCACTTGTAGAGAGGCAGGGAGGGAAGGAAGTAGAAACATGTCAGTTTGGTAAGGAAAGGTACTCACATAATTATCTTTTAATTCTGGGTGATCTTTTTGTAGTCCATCATCAACAACTCCAACAACAACTCCTCTGCCAGTATAACCCATTTTCCATACATCTAGTACATTGTAAGTAGGTCCATTATCCCTCATCTGAAAATTAATATGAAATAAGTTTGTGTTTAAAACCCTAAGAAGCTTATCCGTCATCCACAACTATGTCATATATGACATGTATAACCTTGCATTTCGTTTGCCTCAATCAGGCTCACAAGTGATGTCAAAAATTTTCAGATCCAATTCATACAGACAACAGCATATAGTGTTAAATGCAGTTTCAGGACATATAGCCAAATACAGAGCACGAGGTTGCAAAAAATTAGCAAAAAGTCAAAGGCCCCTGTGAGAACATGACTATTTGTATAACAGGTACATTTTTGTAATGAGCTTTCGCTTTCGGCTTACTTAATGTCTAGTGTTAAATAATGATTGACTATTGACTATTGCTTTCAATGGTGACAGAATCTACTGAAATTTGTATTTGTGATTATTTCTTTTTTATTGTTTTTAGAAGGTCTTCTTGGAATGAGTTGAATTAATAGAGTCCTTACCTCATCACATCATACATTATGTGCCAAGTTTCAATGGCATAACTTACTAAGGAAAAGGTTTGTCTTAAATATGCAACAAAAAAACTCAAGAAAAAATCACCGAAATTTATGACACCCACACATAGGACAAATTACTGGTGTGACAACAATGAAAATCACAACTGAACATGAAAATATTCACCAATCTCAGCAACTTGCACTTCTGATCAATCATGCACATGCAAAAAAATTTTGTGACAGCTGGTTATTGCTGCTTCCTTTCACCTTTTTTGGCCCCTTTGTTTGTGGCTTTTCATAGCTTGGTGAAAGACAACATCTGTTGTTTTGCCACTGGAGTCTCACAAAGGAAACATTAAACAATAGGTTTCATCGGAAGTAATTTCAATTAAATGAAGTAATTACAATTATTACAATGTACAAATTTAAGCCTTATAAAGTACAAACATTCAAAAAGAATTTTTTTTTCCTCATCTCTGCTACACAAATTAAGTGCTGTGTCAGACAGCTTCTAATTTGTTTTGAAGGAATTTAATCACAGGAGGCATTCTAAAAGTACATGCAGAGTCTAGCACTCTGATCACTTTTTTGACAAACTCACAGCTGTTATTTTAGATTAATGAATGCAGATATATCATCAGTGAACTAGCTAAATATCTTAACACTGGAATTGAACATTTTAATTCCTTGTAGTTCTTAGTTTTTTTTTCTTATTTTAGAGGGGTTTTTTTTGAATGGATAACCCAGCTGGTTCACTATACATTTATTTATCATCACACTAACAAAAACAATTTATGGGGATTCAAATCAATAAATTTTTGGTCAGCTTCTGAGTGTAAGATGAATTTGTTCATTTTAATATCACTCACTTGGTCATCTGTCTTTACCACCAAGAGAAATCATCAAATTTAATTTGTGTCTTTAATTTATCTTGTACAGGTGTACGTATCAGCCCTTTCTTCCTGTCCAGGTGTACAATGTATTTCTCTCTCTAATGGATACAAGTTACTAATTTCTCTCCAAGCACAAATGTTGCCATATTTGTGGAAACTTTATGACTAGCAAGTCACAGTAGTTGAGGGCTTTAAAGTTGAAGATGCATCTTTGAAAAATAAATTCTACAGTACTTCACTGGTAAGGGTGGTTTAGATACAAATGTTGTACAGACAAGTTTGTGAAGTATTTTCAATCCTCTACGTGTTTCATCCTAACAACCCCTCCCCTCTCCATTCAAGTCAACATTCCAGAATTTTCATTTGAACTAGCCCAAATCTTCCAGAAAGAAAACATTTGCCAGCTCAGAGCATCATATGGCCTCGGCCCTTAGCAGCCTTGACCAACCAACAGCCATCACAGCTCTAATTAAAATCAAATTAGTTAAAACTGTCTATATTTGCTCTCTTCATTTCTTTTGGCTCACAGTGCAACGAGGTTCAAATGGTAAATTATTTTCCTAGATTGGTTCCCCCAAGCATGACATTTGTGGACGACAACAGTTACCCTCCTACCTAAACGCAGCACGTTCTGTCCAAATTAACTGCAGTGTGCATGTAAAAAAAAGTGTTCTCAACCCTTTAGTTCAAGCAGCCCCCTCAAATCCATCACAAAAGGCATATCCCACCCAGAATGTATACATGTAGCACAAGTTACCCACCATGTACCACTGGTCCTTCCACTTAGGATCATTGAAGATGACTTCACCATGAGAGGAGTAAAGTTTGTAATTTTGCAAGACTTGCTGTTCTGCCCAAAGTATCTGGAAATGAAATAAGGTTAATTCAGTTTAATAGTCACCAACAACAAAAAGGTAATAATTAGCACTAATGCTGAGGCTAATCAAATCCCAGTGGCAAATGAATGCTATGGTGCCACTACTAGTTGTGAGCTTGAGAGACTTAAAGTCTCTTAAGTTTCAAACAATAAATTTATTATCAAGCATGATGTATTAATATTTTTATAAACAGAACAGTACACATATACAGTCCAATTTTTAATCACATTTAATCATAGAGAAGTCAAGTGAAAATGGAATAGTCATTTTTAAACTAGCAGTAACCAATAGTTAGGAAGTGCAGGCGGCCACGTCTGTTGCGAGATGGAACAGACATTGAGGATAGCATGGGAGAAGCAAGGGAGACGCCGGGGCTGTGGGTTCCTGCTGTTGATTTATGCAGTTGCATATTTCAGTTCCTTCTTAGATGTATTTGATGGTATTCTCATGCGAATTTGTGCCCTATAAATTTTAATTATTACTATTTTTAAAAATATCTTTACGAAATGCATTATTATTATTATTATTATTAGTTGTTGTTGTTGTTAATATTATTACTATTACTATCATTATTGTTGTTGTTTTTATTATTATTATTATTATTATTATTATTATTATTATTATCGTCCTCATGTAATGTTTGCTTAGAGTCCTTAGGGCCGAGACCAAACCATTATTATTATTATTATTATTATTATTATTATTGTTGTTGTTGTTGTTGTTGTTGTTGTTACAGCTACTTTCAACAGAGGAAACCAGGTTAAAATTGACATAAAGAAATAATCATTTTTGTACTTTAGAGGTAGAACATCCAGAAAGTAGTTCTTCCTCAAGTGGCTAATGGAATAGGAATTTGGAAATGTAGGTCTTTGAGGGAGATGGGAAAACCGCCAGAAAACTCTTGGAGGGAGGACAAGAACCAAAACTTAACTCAACGCCCAAATGGCACGGACACAAAGAAGATGCACTTTAAATGGGATAAAAATTTTATTGAAAATAAACATAATTACAAAACAGTAACATGTGTTCAAGAACAGTAAATAACAGGAACATGTGTACAAGTACAAATTCAAATATTTTCTTTTGGATCTCTTCTGCAGTATTCGGCATAATTTAGCTTTGCGACTTCTAGAAGGTTCTCTGTCTCTCTTGTACATTCGACAAGCCATCTTTGTTGAGTATTTTCTAAATGCACTCCTTCATGATTTAAGTCTGAAGGTATCAATTTCGAATGAAATATCACATGATGATTCACGAATCTCAAGTCTACATATGTCATTTTCAGTGCCCAGATTAGATTTAAATTTTATGTCCTTGTTCAAGGCAAAGCTATGTGATTTGCAAAGAAGTCTACAGAATTCATTTTCAACAGCAAGATTCAATTCAGATGTAAACTTTTCAACGCCACATGATTTGTCAAGAATGCTGATGTTATTATTAGTGTCCAAAGTCAATCTTGATGCGAGCATAACACTTTTAATGAATGAATAAAAGGTTTCATCAGACAGCTGATCACACAACAAACTGAACACAACAACAATGCAATCCTAATCCAGTCAGTATCAAGAGTTTTGGGATGACAGTGTTCGCCGATTTGGCCTCCCCACAGGAGGGTCAAATTACATAATGATCGCATGAATGAAGTCACAACCAGTCACGTGTGCACTATGTAAATTGTTATAATGGTTTCTGAAAAGCTGTAGGTTGCATATGGGCACTATGATATCGAACTGCTTGCCTTCCACGAGGAGTAAGAAAGCCCGCGTCATCACGAATAAATATTTGGCAGCTCGACGACAGCAAATGGCCACGATTTGTGGTCAGAAAACAAATCTTTCGAATTATGAAGTGTGCAGAGCAGCTTGGCAAATTCGTTGTGGCCATGATTGGTTGTCACAAAACAAACTTTTCATGTTGTGCAGCTCATCTAAAGGCCATGATTTGTGGTCAGAGTGGTTTATTCACCTTTTTCATTTAGGAAAACAAGATGTAAATTCAAGCAATGTAAACAAATACAAACACACACCACGACATGGGTAAAATTGACAAAATAAATATTTGGCAACGTGCTGTAGTGCAGGGCCATGTCACTGGTCGAAATGTTATTTTCTCAAGAAATATTTGTTGCAAGTGTTGACAAACTGAAATTGAAGTTCAATGAGTGTTGCCAACAGTTAAAAAAAATGCCATTTCTGGAGAAGATTTGGTGCAATGCAAGTTAATTTACTTTATCAAAAACACTTTTATGGCAGGTTATAAATTTACTCATCACTAGTCAGCTTCTACTACAGATCGTTATCTGTCATGCCATCAAAGTTAGTTTTCTCTCCAACCATTACAATGCCAGCAAAGTTGACCAAGCATGCAAAGTACACATGTGAATGCACTACTCTAATCTTTGATTACTGCTAGTTTAAATAATTCAACTTAGAGTATATTACAAAGTCTACTTAATCAGTGAAGCAAAATATGAAGAATTAATGAATTCGCACGCCGTTCTGTCTGGAATAATAACAATTTTGTGGAAAGAATCACAAAGCCACATTTGCCTCACCATGTCTTTACAAATAAAAGTACCCCTGACCAATTTTTCCTTGGCCATGTAAAGTTAACAAAATGACATCAGTTTTTCATATGTCTCTCCTGTTATTGATCATGATTTTCATCATAACATTGTCAATTGAAAGTAGCTGTGGATCTGCTGACTACTTTGACAATGTTATGACTAAATTCATTGGCTATAACAGGACATAAACATGAAAAACTGATGTCAATTTGTTTTTTACAATTATAACAACATCGCATAATTATCCATTCATGTGTGATGTGCATGAGAATTTCTGAAGTTAACTACACTGTATCGTAAAAAAGATAATAGAGGTGAGTGTTTTCTGAATGATTAAATGGCAACTGTCATTCATTATCAGCCTGGTTGTAGCACAAAACTACATTGTTTTTTTCATACTAATTCTTGTGATTGAGCTCCAACACAGAGAATTTCCGGTCTAAATGGACACCATCTTGGTTAGAACATTCATCACAACTGCCATAGATGGAAAGTAGTACTCTGTGTTCTGTACACAGTAATTTCTTTATTCATTTGTCATTTTTTCCTACTTATTCACCTCTGCACCATGAACCGTGAATAATTTTATTATGCCGGAATAATTAATCTCAATTTGCACTGAAATAACGAATAAATCTGAAAAGTCTCCATTTTCAAGGTCGAAGAAAATTGGTCAGTGGTCATGGTCAAGAGAAGATGGTGCAGTTGTAACGTGGAAAAATGCTGTACCTTTACTTTTTTTTTACTATTCTTTCTGTGAAATTATTACTCTAGGCACTATGCTGTGTGAATTTGTTCATTCTTCACTTTGTCCTTCACTTCACAAGTTTTACAAATTTAAGGTGGCTCTGAACCCTATGAACAGTTTTTTTTTTTAACTTTGACAAAAGTTGCACCTTATGGACATGCTTATCAAAATTTTATGATACAAAAAAAATTTCACCTTGATGTTTTTGAATAATAAGCCCTTAAAGAGATATAATTAAGGGTGTTTTTAGCAAGTCATACTGTTGCTATGGTAACCTATTGTGTCACGGAAATGATAACAACATGTTCAATTAAATGATTGGGCAGTTTTTTTGATACCATGATTGTAGCATCAATTGAATAAGAGTGGATATAATGACCCATCAAAATCTACAAATGTAAGTCTTGGAAAGTGCTTGAAACTCTGTTAGGCCACCAATTAGACTTCATCATCATATAATTTAAATTAGGAGTCTATATTTTCTTGAAGAAAAATAGGGGGTCCAGATGGGGGTCCAGATTCACGAGGGTTCCAAAAGGGTCCAAAAGGGGGTCCAGATGGAGGGGTCCACGTTTGTACTGACCCTGTTTAGTTTTGAGTTAAATCCTGGGTAAAATTATATAGGAAATGACCCGAAAGGAATCAAAAATTGTTTAAGTTAGCAGGAAGATCCAGTTATCAAGAGTTCATGTTACTGAGTGTTTCAGCCGCATTTAATTCTTTGTTATTTTTTCTGTTTGTGCGTGCATTCTTTCATGATCATCGCATTCTTTTCGTTTATCTCGCTTTCACGTTATCGATATTCTGTTAGGTTTTTTCGCATAATTTTGTTTTGTTTCAGTCCCCTTTTGTATGCGTCTTTCTAGTTTATTTGTGCATTTTCATCGCGACACTACTATCATCTCGTTTCCTTTACCGCCCTGCCGTTTTCCTTCTACATATTCCTTAGCTTCCTAGTCATACAACGTTTGTAAGTATCGTCTACCTTCGGCTCATTGTTTCTGTTTCTTTTATTGTATTCATCTATAACTTTTAATTTATTTTGTTTGTAGCAACCGCTCCCTTTTCATCGCTTTCTTCGCACTCTATCATTAAATTGCACATTTCGTCTTATCAATTAAAGCCAAGTAGCCCGTTGAACATTGACTACAATACTGAGGGTAAAATTACAGTAAATGTGTGACTGAAATTGGTTTGAGTTTAAGCAAGACATTCGAGTTATGAGGAGTTGTCTGTGGTGACTCTTGTGACTCAACCTGCAGACAAGTAAGCAGTAAGTTATATTAACTCACCTCAGCTTCTGCCAAGAGTTCTGTTGAAACATCCGTGCTAGGATATTTTGATCCGGTCGGAACCAGCTTGTGATCAAAGGTGTAGTAGTTGGAGACTACCTAATATAAGAAGTAATAAGCCAGATATCATTAAATAGTATACATCTCTTTAGTACATGTAAGTCCCCCTCTCAAAATTCACTTCAATTCTCCTCAAAAATTCTAAATAATTCCCTGCTCCTCTTCCCAGGATCTTAAGTCAAGATAATTGCTATCTTTATTAATTATTGCATTCAATAGTAGGAGCACTGCAACCTAAACCTGAAGGGGGATCTTTTTGCACGAGCACACAAGTTAAGTGGGAAATCATAAACTTCGATTTTGGGGACAGACAGGCAAGCAAGCTACTGGATATGGTAATACACTGACAGGAAAGGTGTGCATGCCCCTCAAAGACAAAGCACTGCAATATTGTTTTGAAAATAGTTCGTACATGCAATGTAACAAAGCCTGATCAGGGAGTTGTTTACTACCCCTGAAGTATATAAAAAAGCCAACATTTGAGCTACAACAAAGTGAAATATAGCATGTGCTATCATCCTGTCAGATGCCATGGATGACAGAGAGTTGCTTGGAAACAAACCAGTTTGGATTGTGAGTCATTGTACCTATTGCAGTAACAAACATAAACTGACTAAAGTGCATGAGTAATTTTTCAGCTCAGTAAGGGTGCAATCTCAATCTTTTTTTTTAACTTAATGTATTATTATTTTAAAACATTTGTGGGTGTAATACAACAAAGTCTAATCAGGGGGTTGTTTACTACTCCTGAAGGCTATACAGAAAACCCAATAGAATAATTCATGCTAAAATTGCAACAAAGCCAATAATGGTGTGTGCTAATGATCCTGTTCAGCACCCCCAATAAATTCCAATGATAGATACGACATTCAAAAGCACCAACTAATCATTGATCACTTCTAGTCATCAAGAGTTTCTAACCCTAGGAAGATGTGCTGCGGTCATAATTAGTTGAATGTTATCCAATTTTTAGTGCAGAGTGCACTATTGGGATGGTTTAGGGGGCTGCTGTTCGGTAAGGCACTAAGCACTCTGCACTAACACAATAAGGTGTAAACTTTAATGTTTGTTTAATTAATTAATTTCAATTAATCAATTAGCCTTGCAGGAAGGGGGCTGGGTGGAGTGACTATAGGTACCCACATGCTTAATGTGAAACGTGTCTTACTTACGTTGCTTTCCTTGATAACTTGACAAAAATATATATATGTTTTTGCAAATCTCATGCTATCCTTGTGGTGTTATTATCTTAAGAACAAAAGAAATTTGCTCTAAATGCATGCACAGATTAGTTAGTGTCAAAGTCGACTATATCTTAGCATTCTCATCCCCAGAGGCTGCGCTCCTTTTGGTCAGCTCCAACAATTGTGACCTCTGGGAAGGTCCAATTTTTTGAGCATGCGCAGAGTAATCATTTCGTTTTCTCAGCCAATCAGATTTGTCAGACTTCACTCTGAGCATGCACAGAGTGACGCAAAGTCTGTGAACTGCGGAGTTCCAGTGTTGGACCTTCCCAGAGGTTGATCCCAGAGGTCGCGATTCTTGTTGCTGACAAAAAGGAGCACAGCCTCTGTGGACAAGAATGACATGCTACGAACATTGAGTGCTTTTCCTTGTAGTAGAATCAACATAACATGTAAGACGCATGCATTTCAGGAAGGATTGATAAATGCCACGGCCATTTTGTGTTTACAACAGGTGTTTTTAGTTCCCGATCTTCCCATGAGTATCACCTCATTGATTCCCGTTATACTCGCGGGAAGATTGTAAACACAAAATGGCCGTGGCATTTTATATCAATCCTTCCTTGGCTCCCCGGATCACCGTTTACTGTTCATACATGTATGTACGCCGTGAGTTGTCCAAAAGAGTGCTTCTACAAACCTTTCAAGAGGACTCTACATGATTAAACCGGCTTCAAGTAAAACAATGGTCAGTAATACAAAGAACATCAAAGTATGTGACCGTCATGCTCAACACAGATGAAGAACGTATCAATGTACTTTATATACAAACCTACAGCTGGAAGGAAAAGCTGGCAGTTTTAATGCTACCTAGTTTTCAAGGATCGCTACAAAGGACCTTAATCTTGAAGCCAGGTAAGAGATTTACATGAATTTATCGGAGCACTTTACGAAGG